ATTTCATGCAACACCTACCAATCATTAACCATTGATACCGTGCTTTAGGTCAATAAAAAAGGGTTAATTCGACGAGACTTAATTGTGAACTGGAATTTATTCCCATTAAATAATATCTTCCAGTTTTCTCATAATCAAGCACACAGTGCACGTAGGTTTGTATTTGCTGCCCTCAAAGTAACTAAAACTTTACATTACATTCTATGTGGAAGACTAGAATTTAGTAAATATTGATTAGAACGTTTTTTAAAAAATTCACTCGATTCCTACTTTGACATATTTCATTAGAATATGCCTTTACATAAATGAAATTTTTAATGAGGAGCTCGATGGCGCAAGTGATTAGCACGTTCTGCTGCGATCGTTGAAGTTAAGCAACTTTCGCAGGGGTCGGTCATTGGATGGGTGACCAAAAATTTACTATCTCGAGCTCCTACGTGCTTCGGAAGGCACGTTAAGCCGTTGGGCCCGAGTGGTGGTGGGTCATGGCCGAATCTCCCAATTTCATTCATAGGGAAGGCCTGTGCCCCAGCAATGGGGACTTTAATAGGCTAATGATAATGATACCTTTAAATTGTATTACATGTAATAACATATTATATGATTATAATTTTATTTTTTAGGCTTGTAACTGCTTGATGTTTAAATATAAAGAAAATATAGGTAACTAGAAAAAATAAATTTTATTATATGATTTTTGTAAACTCTACTACTGTAGGTATTAAATAAACAAATGTCAAAGCACCAGGTGCATATTCTTTATCAATCGTATAATTTTTAATTCTACAACTGGGCCTAAAGCTTAATTCACAGTTGATGGACCGCTTGCATGTGTGTGAAAATTCATTTCAGTCCAATATTTAGCTGTGGTTGTAGAGAGTGTGACAAACAATCAAACCCTCCTTCCTCACCCTACTTCGTTCCTCTGTGTCATAAAAAGTAAAAGATAGATAATGAACATTTTCGGAGAATGTATTTTTATTGCCTTTTATTTATCTTTACTGAGTATAACAGCTTAATATATTATATAACTGAGACAAGATGGGATGATAACATTCGTAGGCTGTCTGGAGTGGGCTGGATGAGAGTGGCAGAAAATCGGGAGCAGTGGCGAGCATTAGGGGAGACCTATGTCCAGAAGTGGCCGAGCTTGGGTTGATGATGATGATGATTATAACAGCTTTACGCCGCCATATTCACGTCTCAGTCGGTAATAAATATCCTGCTAAAACCAATAAATTTCTTAAGTCACTTGGAATGGGTAGGCCCCGACCAGATGATGTGAGTTCCTTTTCCCAGTAGCATTAACATCAACTTCTTAAACCTTGACTTCTCATCTTCCTCTAGTCTTAGTAACTCAGATAAGACTAACACTTTAAATTATCTTTCTTCATTACCAGCCCCAGACTACTTTCCTTTAACTTTTACACAATTCTCTAAATGTTACGTTAAGAAGAGTGTGCTTTCTATCTCATCCAATGCGGTGGGGATTGTCAGTATAAATCGCAATATGTTACTACTAATCTTAGATATCATTCTTCTTGTACTTTCTTTCCTTTTTAACAATTCTATTCTTATATTATATGATTTATTTTTTTAAGCATTTTACTGCTGGATGTTTATATCTAAAGAAAATTTTACTAGAAAAAAATCCAGAAAAACAAAGTTCTCTATAAGATTAATTTTGCCTGTTGCAATAACTTAAAAATATACTTGTATCATTGTACAGAACCTTTCCTATCAGACTTTATATATTACGGTATATTTAGCTATCGTGTATTACCAAACATGTGATTGTGCATGTATTAACAAAACATGTGATTGTGCATGTATTAACAAAACATGTGATTGTGCATGTATTAACAAAACATGTGATTGTGCATGTATTAACATAACATGTGATTGTGCATTTCTTCTGAAAATTCTTTGCGTAATAACCTTTGTAAGAATAACAAGACATGTATTGTCATCAAAGTTAGGTAGTTATATCACACACCTTATCATCCATATCTATCGGGCTCAGGTGTTTTGTGCACGCTCCGTTAATGTGAATCGTTCCCTAGACTGGTTTACGATATACATCGGTTAAGAGTTAATATACTTCCAGCAGCCACGGTACCCAGGGGCAGGCGTCTAATGGTAATAGCTACCAGTTTCATTAGAATTATTGCCATAGATCTCGCGGCATGTGTGATTTAATAACACTTTCGTACACCTCGATTTTATGGGAATTTGAATTCTTTGAATAACTCAATATGAATGTGTTTACCGACCCATATGGCGTAAGGTCTTTGATCAAACAAGTAAACGATACGTATATTTTTTTTCCTAAATAAATCCTCCAACTTGTACAGTATTTCACTGTTAAGTATGACATTAGCCAACAAATAAATAGTATTACGATATTTGACAATCAAGTAAACCTGCAATAAAAAGACGAAATTTCAAACAAAGCTTTAATTTTGAATATGTAACATCTTTAAGAGCAGCCATTAGATAGGTACCACAGGCAAGCCGACGAACACATAACGCTCCATAGACACCGAATAAGAGAACTAATAATTCTTTTATCGTGATCGTAAATCAGGGTTCTTTAGAAAACCGCGGTGGTACCTACCTACAACCCCTTGTCCATTTAATAGCCATTTTGTCACAAATATGCCGATAAATTAACTCTAACTGGAAAGGGATAATAAATCTTCGGAAACGAGGTTTCGTTGAAGATTTAACATTTTTCTATTCGTGAAAAAAAACAATGGAATTAGTAAAGTCCCATATCCAGAGAACATTTTTGTGTATTGTCTTATATTCCGATGCCAAAAATAAGAAGAGTCGTACTAAGATGTTTAATACATCTGGACAATATGTAACGAATGCATGTAATCAAATTAAAGCATGTGTTAAAAATCTTTCTTGGGAATAAGTAATAACAGGCTTAAATATTCATCGTAAACATTTATCAAGCAACATTTGATCAACATTGTTGCTGAAATATTCTGCAACGTGTTGATTCAAGTTATGTTCACTATCACCATTAATTTTATCAGCATAAGCGTATAGTACGTTCATGAACTTTATAAACTTGGTAATTTTGAGAATAGCATTCGCATTTATTGTTTTAGACGATTTTCTTAAAAATTTCGTCAACTGTTAAACTGCAGTAGACAATGTGGGTGATACTTCCGCACACTTGGGTTAAGAAAACACCGCAACGACGAAATTACACGACAAGCCCGTCTATTTCTGCGACTCATTCACAACACGACCGACCGTCTGTCTGTCTCTCTACTTAGATACCTACTCGTTACGTAATCTCTGGAGATTTCAGGCAATTTATTTTGAGTTGATACTATTCTTAGAATGTCATTCGACAACTATTAGCGTCATTTTTTGTTGTGTCTTCAAATGTCTAGCGTCATTTAGTAATGATTGATTCTCTTAAAAGTTCTTTAGATATAATGGATTTAGAAATTACTGAGAATGAAGTTGATAAATCAGTTATAAGTCATCACAGTTTTATAGGTAAAATTTTCACTATTCAACGGGTACCTTTATTTAAATATATTCAATGCTGTATTTACGCAAAATCTATGAATATTTTTCTAATCGAAGTGTACCTAACTAATATTGAAAGTGTTGAATGAGCCCAAGAAGATAAACAGTATTTAAAAATACTAAACGCACAAAATCAATCAATTGCTAACCCAACCTAACTTTTAGGTTTACAACTGAATTCGTCGTTGTTTTGTTGCAAAGCAAATGCATACACTTAGGACTTTTTGAGGTTCGTCCCAATTATTTTCCACATATATTTTTAGTTATCATTATATTACAAACAATTTGCACGCCGAGGCGATTTCGATATCATTGTCAGAATACCTATCTCCACGTCACCAAAAAGGTTAACATTACCAGAGAAAAGAACCTTATTATAGGTATCCTTCTTGTTGTTACAGCCCGATGAACTGGCGAAGTCCGTCAAGCTGACGTCTCGGGAGAGGCGGTTCATCAAGTTTGCCAGCGTCGAGTATGGTGGCCAGCTTTACATGACCCCACAGGACTTCCTCGAATCAGTCGTCGAGCAAGAACCGAGACGTAAGTCTTCATCTTTTATTTTTATAGTCAGGTAGGCAAAATGATCTACCGCACCTAATGTTAAGTGGTGATAAAGTCCAGACGCGAAGAAAGCTGGTACGACAGTTATAAACTGCCACACCAATCATCCTCACCACGCGACCTGCAGAAATGCTTCTTCACGATAGTCGGTATATCTGCCTATAAATGCCCCCATTGCTGGGACACAGGTCTTCACTGTGGATATAATCACAAAGAGAAGTGACCCCCACTAACTTCGTGGACCTGCAGCTTTGTGAGAGCTACAGACTAAATACAACCGGGAGCACAGGCATAACGTGCCTTCCACTTCCCAGAACAACTCTATATTTATTTATTTTTGTTATTCATCCGAACGGGCACTCTCCAGCACCTAAGGACTCTCCACCAAACAGCTTGTATTAACACCACCAGCAATGAGTACAGATAATTCCACTATTATAAGTGATTTTCCTAGAAGTTGCATTGTAGAACTGCCAAGTATAAAAACGTGGTCAAATAACTATGAATTCTGCAAGACTGGAAATCTAATCTACAGATGGCTCCAAAATGGCTCCTTTTGACACTTACGGGCGGCAAACCTCAACTTCACGGTGCATCTGTAAGCAATAAGTTAGACTTATGTTGCCACGTCAAGTCTTCAGTTTTATATAATATTTTCCAGCACGTCTGAAGAGGCGCGTGTTGACCACCAAGGAGATAGAATACCTCCGCGACCACACGCCGGCACTGAAGAAGGGCTCTCCTCAGATGTTCCGCAGTATGAGGGATAAAGGTAAACTTGAAAAATGAACTACAATACTTAATCTTATCTTACTTATTACTTATCTTTTAATATCACTTATGGATAAATCTAAAGAAAATTTTACTAGAAAATATTTTAGTCGGTGACATCGGATATGATTCGAATCTGCGCCTTTCGCTGTCCGAGCGAATCACTAAAGTATGGTTACAGTTTTCTTGAAATATATCGAATATAAAATATAAGAAGTATATTGATCGTAGTGTTTTTTTCAGGAATAATATCTTACACGGAGTACCTGTTCTTACTTTCAATCCTAACAAGTAAGTGAACGATTATTTTTACTCGAGGAATTTGTCTTTTCCCTATTAATATGGCTTGGCAAATAGTAGTGCTTAATAATAGCAATATTCTTAAAATTAAATAATATATACACAAAAAAATTCAAGGTGTGATGAACTTTCCATTATCGATAATGCGGAGAAAAAATGCATTATATCTGAACCTACCTAGTATATTAAAATATGCAAATATTTTACAGAAACAAATTTAGGAAACCATGTAACCATTTGTGTAACAACTGTGTAAATAATATGTGTATTCTTTACAAAACAATTTTATAACCTTTTGTATACCCGTTACGAAAATCGGCGTTCAGAATTCTAAATACTTATCTTATTCCCGATCAAAATCAGTTCAAAACTGTTGTAATCCATTTCAGAGCCAGCGTCTGGTTTCCAAATAGCTTTCAACATGTTCGACACCGACGGCAACCAAAGAGTAGATAAGAATGAATTTCTAGTCGTGAGTACATGGCATTTGTTAAGTTCAGTGCAAGTGATAAGCGACAAAGATGGTCCTTAATTCATAATTATGATATTCCAATCTTACTCCTTGGCAAATATACTTCTTCTGTTTTCATTCCGATCTATAGATAAGTTTCAATTTCTAAATTATGTTATTGAATTATCAAGGAAGTATTTTTTATCGCTTATCGCTTTTAGTTTAAACGTATAATAACTTTTCACTTACTATTCACTGGTCTTCTCTTTTATTAGCACAACGTATGTATCACTTTCATTTGGTGGCAGGATATAAACACATTTTTTCATAACAAAACCCGAAGCGATAGGAGATTGCTCAGCTTCCATACATGTTTGGCCTAGAGACCAATAATCATGAAAAATTGTTTCCTAGATTCGAAATTATATATAAATTACTGTAGAAACGAATATTATTGATGGACACCCCTGAGAACTTCTATAAACCATATACACTGAACATATTAAAATAATAAAAAACAAATAAGTTATATAGTAAACTAGGAAAATCAAGCCAAGTACCGAAATTATGGATTAGATTCAGGTATATAGAGCATGTAGATTGACAGATTGTTGCCTGTTTTTAAAGTTAATGCATAAGAGTAACTTTTAAAATCAGGTGTGTCATCTATGCATTTCCTGTTATATAAGGTACTCTGTGACAGAAACTGTTATGTGTGATGATTGTGAATGAGCCACAGATTAGAGAGATTTTTTAAACTCCGTTAACCAAAGAAAGCTAAGAGATTTAGGTTCTATAGCCATATATTCAGTAGCTTCATTATTTTTGTTATTTTTTTAAGATAACCATATTTTAGATTTTTAGTGTATCACACCTTATAATTTTATTTATTTATTAATTTATAGTCAGGCAACGTAGGCCCATAGATCTATAGTTAATTAAAAATACCTTAAAGTCTAACATATACACAGATTATAATGTATTTATGGAGGTGTTTGGCGAAAAATGTATGGCAATAGACTTTATGATGTCGCCTACCATCTATAATAATTGTCTGAGCACATTTGCGTGTAGTGAAAATGATAATATAGTTGTGAATATTAATACCACAGTGTAATAAAAAAAATATTTTAGGATCTTTACAAAATAGATTTGTTTTTATGTTATATAAACAACTTCGATCAGTCTTTGGCTGAATGTTACTACACCCATAGCCATTCAAAATGATTCGTATGTTTTCTAAACCGGTAAAATTAAAGTCCTTTTTAAAGTAAATATATTATACAAAGGTGTCCGTTGAAATCTAATTAATGTAAATTAAATTATAAATTACGCCAAGAATTACCGTGTATGTCAATATTTTTTGTGCATTTGGGCCAATTTGAGCAATCTCCTTTACAGAGAAACACGCGCACTTCTTCATTTTCATAACACAAGGGTTCATATGACAAGGAGCCAAGACATAATTCTTTATTCAGTTCTATTATTATTTTCTTAAATATCTGTTCTTTTTTCTTATATTTATTTTTTTCTGAGCATGTTTTCTGCCGTAAAAATATAGATTCAACGCCTGCTCGGTGGTGCTTTCAAGGAACGTAAAGATTTGGACGCGAAGAGTCAGGAAGCAGTGAGTTTACAAGAGTGCTTCTGTAGACCGTTCTTTGTCGGTCAAATCGAGCGATTGGTCTATTTATATATAGTGCTTGTGCTGTTACAAACCGATTACAGCCTAAAACTTGATTTTATCAATTTAATAATTGTAAATTTATTTATCAGCAATAATGTACACACACGGCACTAAATAAATGGATCATATAATTGTGTCGATTATCAGCTTAGGAGGTTGTGCCTGACCAGGTGTTCTTTTGTTTATAAAAGTATTTTATTGTTATACGTGTTAAAGGTCTATGTATTAAATTTGCTTATGTGGCTAATTTATTATGAAATATTCAACAGCTATGATGTGTAGCGATCTACGGTTTTGCAGGCGGCTGCAAAACCGATAGACTAACTACTGTATAATAGATAAATTATAGATTAGTGGGTCTACAATTTTTCTATACTTTGGCCGCAAGGTGATGAGGCCCAGACACGAACATAATCTGTTCCAGCAATTTCACCTTCGCACGTACTAGCAGTCCTCACATTACCAGCTTGCAAGTTGCAAACAATTTTATGCGACTTAAACCATTTTCCGAATGTTTTATGAGTAGACACTAGTGACATCGTTTAATTGTTGGCTATTCTGATTCCATCCACAACCGTTTGCCGTTCTTACGATCTTAAGCTCTGTAGTAATTTCATTAGTACAAAATATTTTTTTCTGGTTGTCATCATTAATAGTCCTACAGCTGGAGCACAGGCCTTCCCTATGAAGGGATAAGGGAAAATTATTACCTTAACCATCCTATATCATGTACCCTTCTTCTCTAGCGATTAATAACATTCTATTGTTTTCATAGTAAACTTTACTTTAAAATGTAAAAACTGTTAATCACTTAAGATATATATTATAGGTAACTCTTAGGTGGTGAATGTAGATGAATGTTATTGAAGAACCTATTTTAGAAACGTTGTAGCGGTATAACTTTGTAAAATAAACACTACTTTCGCACATCAATTTCACTAATATGACATAAATATGGAAGTAAAATATCATGTTGGCTATTTGCAAATGTGTATCGTTGTCCTTACTCCGTGGTATCAAGTGAATTGATCTCGGACAGCGATCTCGAAGTTATGTCTGCATTCAGCCGCGTCTCGAGTAAATATTTTTTTTCTATATCTCCCATTAAAAGATTACTGAAAAACGTTCGTAAATTGCCAGCGCGATTGCTCTTTCACTATTGGCTACTAATTTTCTGATCTAACTTATTGGCGGCACAACCACAATTCTGTTGCTTCAAATTATTTTTATTTTTTAATATTCATCGCTTCATATACCTATCTAAGTTACTTTATTTACAATCTATTATTTTACTTTTATGTGTTAATTATGTAATTTTTGATTATATGTGCTAAAATGTACTCACTGCCATATATTTTATAGCTGATTTCGATAGTATCTTCAAGTCCTGTGCACAAGGGCAGAAACGCATTAAGGGAATCAACCCCTAAACCGTCTACTGTAAGTTAGAGGAAACCTGCCTTAACGTTTGTCTTTGCAGTTTTCGTGTTTGTTAGAGAAAGAGAGAATTCGGCTTATTGTTTGTCATTTGTTTTAGGTTGTATTGTGCTAAATGTCATAATATGAGTTTTCAAAGACATGATGCTTTTTTCTTATAAATAATGTTTAGAACGGTCGAAGCTGTGTTGATTTTTACATGTATTCTATGGCCTTATCAAATATGTATTTGTTTTGTGTGATTAATAATGTTAATTGTTCAGTTTATAATATAGCTTGGAGGTACTGGATCCGATTTAGCTTTGAACGACATTACACACTTATTCTGTAATTATTCTTGCTTTAATGCGAGTAAATACCTATGCGCTGTTACATGTATAGTACACGGACATTTTTTATATATTAACGCTTCCTTTATAGCGCTTTCACACTTAAATGTGTAACACTGTTAAACACGTTTATGAAATATTTTAACATAACAATGCTTGAATAGTGAAATTGGTAACACATACAAATGTCACTAAACACTGTAAATAAAATCAATTTAATTGAAAGATCGTTTAATGGAAATTTTTGTGTACATTTCTCTTATTACGCCATCAATAGAACTCGTATATAAAATAATAGGTCGTGGTTTAAAAGAATATTAATTTATTTATCTCGAAATGTTGCTTAAACTCATCCCAAAAGCGTAATAAGAGAAAACTTCATCAGCATTTTTTCACAAGTTTAACGAATATGCCGCAAATGTTACAGATGGAGAAAATCTTTAGTTTTGCTTGGAAAGGCAAGCGAGGCATTAACGAAGTAGTTGAGGGCGAAGGGGCGGAGGCCAAGCCCCAAGACACATATGTCAACGACGAACAAGGCCTGCAGCGCAGGCATAACGTAGATACTTTCTTGCAGGTAAGTTGCTGCAACATAGCGATTCTGCCAATTTCCTATTAGATAGATTTATTGTGTTACTTTAAACGATCGATTTTGAGGTATACGGTTGTGTTATCAAACCATATCGCAAGCAAAAGTAAGGGTCGCCCCACACGGGCCACCGACCACAACCACAAAACGCCGCCACCGGCATATTTCCTGTAGTTTTCATACATTTAATGTGGACTCGCCGCACACGGTTAACGCCGTTGGCCGCCACACGCTACAAATTGTTGCTTGCTTGCTTCTTGTGGCCCTCACCGGCCACTAATACGCCGATACAAAACGCCGCCACACGCCACTCGCGCGATTCCCTACCTTCAAACTTTCTTCGTCAGTGTCAATTATGATAATGCACGCATGTATTAAAAAAAGTAGCAGCCACCGACGACTAGTGTCGACCACCAGCCAGAAGTGGCTGTCGCGCGCTTCAGCTACCTTATTAGCAGCTTCTAGCTTCTCGTAGCGGCGTTTGTGGCTGTTGCGTGTGGCCAGTGTGCGGCGAGACTAAGTGGAGTTTGAAAGCCGACACTGCAGAATTTTCGGGTACATAAGCTTATCAAAACACAGAAATTATACATGACACAAGAAAACAAAAAAATCTGTTCTTTATTCAAATGCTTCATTCCAATGACGTATAATAAGTAAATAGACAGATTATATGCCATAATTTAAAAGTGACACAAGTATTCCCCGCCCCAAATTCCCCTGACAACAGCTGCTAATGCAACTGTCAAAATAAGTTATCAAGAAATATTTTTAGATTAATTTCTTTAAAACTGTAGTTACGAATAAAATGACACGTTTTTCTTGTCTCTAATAGTTCCCGTGTAATTTGAGCACTATTTAAAAACACACATAAGGCTTTTTGTCTAAAAACGTAAAATATTTACATGTTGTAGCGAAGTGTACCCGCGACGTGAGAGCTTGCCCGTTTGAATGCAAGTCGGGCAATTACCTGACTTTCGAATTGCCAAATTAGAAGCGTGTATGACGTCTCTATAATTATAAAAAAAACCATAGCTTCATTCATTGTACGAGCTTAACAGATAATTACAAAACAAAAGACACTGAAATTAGCAAATCTACAAAAAAATCTAAGATTTCTGTTCTTTATTAGGTTCACTTTTTCGGCAAGAAAGGTACTAATGATCTCAGATTCGAAGGCTTCAAGCAGTTCATGGAGAACTTACAGACAGAAGTGTTGGAATTGGAGTTTCAAGAATTCGCAAGAGGTATGTGTCTTAATATTTATTTCGATTGAGTGTTACAAAATCCATAAAGCCAAGTTTTCAGTCAATATTATTTGCAATAGTAAATGACTAAATTTATTTATTTACCCAGGAAAAAACATCTCATGTACAAATTTTCAACTTTACTGCTAATTAAAAATGCATATTATAGTAATATAATATACTCATCATAAAAGTCTAAGCAACATGTTTTATGTTTTTGAACTTTTGAATGGTTTTTACTGTTCTAATTTATGTATAATATTAAAACTCAATCAAAAAGTTTATATTTTCAAAATTAGCCAATTGTATTCAAGAACAGATTTTAAACTACTAGCAAACCAGTGAACCAAATGTTCACCAAAAAAAAAATGTATTTAATTAATTGAGAACTTCGGAGATTTTGTGTGGTTTCGTTTGAAATAGAAATCACGTGATTTCTCGAAAACCGGAAGTGCTACGTTACTCACATCCGGTTTGTAGTCTTATCAGACTATTCTTAACTTATATTTAAAAATTCTCTATATCTATCTCTTACGGTTTGGCCGCTGAAACAGCACCACGGACGGACGGACGGACTTGTCTAATAGATAAGAGACTAGCAAACCAGTGAACCAAATGTTCACCAAAAAAAAAATGTATTTAATTAATTGAGAACTTCGGAGATTTTGTGTGGTATCTTTGAAATATAAATCACGTGATTTCTCGAAAACCGGAAGTGCTACGTTACTCACATCCGGTTTGTAGTCTTATCAGACTATTCTCAACTTATAACTTAAACATTCTCTTTATCTATCTCTTACTGTTTGGCCGCTGAAACAGCACCACGGACGGACGGACGGACTTGTCTATTAGATAAGAGATTCTACTTAGCTAAGAACAAAATTAAACATCAATGAATAAAACTAATTTCTTTGAACTGAAACGTTCGCTGAAGAAGTTCTCTGCCGCAGTCTCTGATGGCTCAAGACTAGTGTGACTTAAACTTAATGCCGGCGCAATAAAAGAAATTTTGGTTGATGCAGAAAAGTTCGCGTGGGTGGCACTTTACTGAAATCTACGCATTGTTGAGATTTATATTTATTGATGCTAAAAGTTATCTTGAACGGATCTTTTTTTCTTTTATTTCAATCTCTGAAAGGTTGCTTACCCCTTAGCAATAAGTCCTTCCGTCCAGGGCCGTAGCCAGCCAGGTACCAATAATTATAGGTATAGGAAGGCTTCATCGTCGTCTCACTAGAATTAGTAAATCTTTCATTAAAATGCTTTAATATGACTTCTGCCGCCTTGTTTTCAATCATGTTAAGTCTACGATATCGATGGTATTTGTTATGTCAGTTTAACAAAACTGACATAACAAATACCATAATAAGGGAAATAAGACATAAGGGAAATAACAATTTCCCTAACTACTGCACGGCACTAATTCATTCATTCACTCAGGCCACGAAACGATATCCGAAGTGGACTTCGCCAAGATCCTCCTCCGTTACACGTACTTAGACACGGACGAGTACGACATGTACCTGGACCGGCTGCTGGACCGCGTCAAGTACGAACACGGCATCACCTTCGACGAGTTTAAGACCTTCTGCCAATTCCTCAACAACCTGGAGGACTTCACCATTGCCATGCGGATGTATACGCTCGCAGACCATCCCATATCCAAAGGTTTGTAGAAGTTAATAATCTAGTTTGTTGTCGGTGAACTCGCGGACCACCCTATATCAAATCTTTAATCTTTTTTTTCTGGGAAAAGTATTGACGCTTTTCTCGCAACCGAGGGTTGCAAAGAGGATATGTTACGACTCCCCCCTGCTCGTTGAGTTCAGCCAAGGACTTGGCGAAATGAGCAGGGCCCAACCCGCTAAAAACATATACAATACTTCTGCACCAGTCTCCTGCCACACATTTTGAGGACCGAGGTCCTCAGAATTCGTGCCGAGAGTGCGGGAGTCTTAGGAATCGAAATTGTCCACAGCCCACGCCAATAATTTATCCGTTGCCACATCGACCCCGATATGCGATGCCTATTCATTATTATTTCAGATTTTAGGGCTATGCAGTCCTAATGGAATTGTAGACACTGCTACCTAAAAAATCTTTGTGATTCGCCACCGAGTTAAAATATCCTTTAGCTCGACAGTTTCCATACGCCCCGAAGTTTCAGGGGCATCTAACATCAAGAGAGCTTTTTTAATGCCAGTCCGACTCCTACCATTTTTCCCCCATTTTCGCATCTAATTGGTCCAATAGCTAAACGATTACACAATGTACGGTCTCATCACCACACACACACTGAGCAACACAGCGACCTACCTTGGTTCGCGCGTCATAATAGTTAATTTTATTGATATTATATATTAATTACACGAGTACCTACGTTAAGAGCGCACATTCGAAACAGTCAAGGAAAGAATCACCTACTAACTATTTTATCTGTATTTACGTTCGGTTGCAATAAATATACATTTTTAACTTTGGTGACTTTTTACCTGCGTACTACAAACATCTATCATCTATCAACATCTAAAAGGTGTACGTGGTCACACTGGCTCGTACATTTTAATGGCCCTTCGAGCCGGATATGAACCAGCGACCTATGAATATATTTATTCCGTACAGATGAGTTCCACCGGGCGGTGAAGATTTGCACGGGCATCGGTCAGTCGGAGCACCTGGTGACCACCGTGTTCGCGATCTTCGACGCGGACGGCGACGGCCTGCTCAGCTACAAGGAGTTCATCGCCATCATGAAGGACCGCCTGCATCGGGGGTTCAAGGTAATCGACGACTGAACCTTGGCATAGCTACATTCATAGAGGCATAAGAATAGATTAGACGAGATATAGACTCTACTACAAGTGGAAGTTTCCCTCTAAAGAGAAAGAAAGAGAAAGAAGATGAGAGACCGCTAGCTTTCTCTCTCTAATCGTGCATGCGCATTGGCAACCGTAAGCATCTTACTATTTCGATGTGATGCCATTGGATGCCATGCGTCACAAGAGAGATAGATAGCTAGCGGTCTCTCATTTTCTTTCTCTTTCTACTAGACAGACAATTTTAGAGCCGCCTTCCCCACTCTATTCTTACACCTCTATGGCTACATTGCCTCCGACTTATCTGTAGAATAAGCGATGGCGCCACTATCGAAAAATATTGAACACTTGCCTTTTTAATGTTCACTGTATCAATACTTAGTGATTGCATATCAAATCAGAATTATTTTATTCAACATTACTTTTGAAAGCAGACTTGGCATGTCGAGACGCAAGATATTTTTAGCAGATTTTATGCAACATTTTTTTCATAATTTAGTAAATGTTATAATTAAAAAAAAACAAGATTTTAAAATTTGTAGAACAGCAACCCTATATATCAAAATGACGTTTTCGAAATGGCGTCAGTAGTTCCTCTTTTTGCCGTTCTACAGATAAGTAGGTGGCATTGTAAAGGCAAAATTTTTTGAGCAAAACCACAGAGCAATAACTTGCGCAGTAGACATTTTGTATGTTAAATTACTACTGCGTAGGCTTCCTTGTCTAGGTATGGTAGTTGCTCAAAAAGTTTGCCGGGGTGTATACAGAGTATATTTTCAACATACCAAAAATATTTTTTTGGTAAAAATACAACTCAGTCCATGCACCAGACAGGATACGAACCTGTACCTTCCGCTATATATATTTATATATATATATATACAGGGTGTTACAATATTCCGAAAAAAAAATTGTAGCTATGTATTCCGAAATAAATATTTGTAGGTATCTGAGCGGGGCGCAGGGGCGCCTGGGGGAGAGAGGGGGGTCTGTTTAGGTAGTAGTAATCGTACGCATTTATAGGGCTGTCATAGGCATGTGTAAAACGATATTTTTATTAATTTAATTAGAAAATAAAAGTGGTCTGAAAAGCGTCAAACTTTCGTAAGTAATTCTATACAAGGAACACAACCAAACCCTAAAGTTTTATTTCGGACTTTTGTCACATCCTGTATATTTATATTTTTAAATATATATATGTATATATATATACAGTGTAAACTCCATGTAACGTCACTCGATTTAACGAGAAATCCCCTAAAGCGTCGAAATCACTCGTCATTGGCTGGTTTAGTTTGTTTTCCATACACTCCATATAGCATTACACTCTCAATAACGACAACAATTAAGTAATAAAAAGTACCTTTTAAGTTGCCAAAATTAGTGAAAATCGCGCAGCTGTGTACGTTCTTTTGTCGCTTTATTATCCTAGCCAGTAATAAACTCGACTATCGGCATCATGCAAAGCAAACTTTATAAGAAATTCGTTCTTTTGTTTACAAATTGGGATTGCACGTGTACACTTGTTGACCATGACTAAAAAAATATAATACAACAAAATTATTGGTGCAGTAAAAGACGTCAGACATAAATAACAGACTATACGCAATAGCGTTCGAATAAGATAATTTTTCATGTGCATAACTACTAGCTTGAAATAAACTTTTTCTTTTCAAAATTCTGATTTTACTACATTCCATTTAACGACAACTCTCTATAACGCCATAAAATGTACAGTCCCTTTAGTGTCGTTATATAGGGGTTTACACTGTTTATAAATTCGAATTAAATTAAGGGTTCGAATCCTATCTGATGCCTGAACCGAGTGGGATATTTCTAGTAATAATTTATGTCATTAGTATAGCTGATGGTAAAACCCTCAGATACATAAACTTGCGCAGTAGACGTTTTTGTATGTAAAATTCCTACTGCGCAGGCTTCCTTGTCTATAGTCGTTGCTCAAAAAGTTTGCCGGGATATAAAGCAAATTTTCTTAAGATTTACCTAGTCAGGTCATAAATTCTGTCACATGTTTAATATAAAATAATTGAAACAAGTTTATTCATTATGTAACCATTTATATACCAAAATGAACTTAACAAAACAGAGATTCTTATGACAATAAAGTTTATTCAAAATGTCCTCCGTGATTTTGAATACAGGCCTTCAATCTGCGCGTCCAGACGTATCGCAGCACGAACGAGGTCCATGTCAATATCGGCGGCTGCCTTAATCTAGGATGTCTTGAGTGACTCCAAATTGGGATGAGGCTTTGAGCACGCCTTTTCCTTCAAGTGTTGCCATAGGGCCAGATGTAGGCCGGATGAAGTCGATTTCACGATTTCACAGCCAGTCTTGTGTGCTCTTCGCTCTATGAGCTGGCGCCGAATCTTGTTAGAATACCCAGTGCCTGTTATTGAACATGGTATGAGAAACAGGTTCCACAAGGTTCGTCAGGACTGTATTTTGATAAACAACTGCATTCGTTTTTACACCTTTCTCACGAAAATGTACCTCTGTTGAGCCCCAATAAGAAACTCCCAACCATACCATGAACGAGGATGGAAAATGACCTCGTTGGACACGCGGAATACAGTTGCTCGCTTCTTCACTACTGTGTGCGTACACCTTATCATTTTGTTAGTTGTAGCTCACTTCTACGGTAAAAAATTTTCATCTGACAAAAAAAAAGTCTGATATGTTTCCCGCGTACCGCTTCAACAAAGCGCGGCATCTCTTCAGTCTCATGTCCATTAGACGAGCATTCAAACGATGTCCTGTTTTTCTTCGATATGCCCGAAGCCCTAAGTCTTCATTTAACACCCTTTTCACCGTGGTTCTGCTTAACCCCATCTGAAGGGCCAACAGTTTCTGCTTACGTTTGGGATTTCTTTGAATTCGCGGCTCCACAGCTTTTATCACTACTGGAGTCCTAACAGACCGAGGGCGACCACTTCTTGACCTGTCATCGTCACTAGTCTTCATTGTATCGTTTGATGGTACGATAAACGAATCTTTTGGTTATATTCAAATTTTTCAGTATGTCAAAAATTTGAATTGGCGCGTAACCGCAACGATGCAACGTAATAACTGCAACACAGACCGTGTTGTGTGTTCTTTCCATATTTAAAAATGAGTAGAATTCTAAAAAGTTTACATTTTTATTTTCATGAACAATTCGAAATTCGAATTCAATAAACTTATTGTGGCCAGCATTGTGAAAGAAAAGTTTTTACTGTGTGACTATACTTATTACCTGACTGTGTATAATTGGAGTACTTTATTAGTTAAAACAACAATAGCATGAACTTGACGTTTCAATTTATTAATGACAATCTATCGGTACACTCAAGTACCTACCGTATCTTATCTTCTAAATATGAAAAAAACTTATGCCAAATATATCTTGCATTTGTACAATAAATTCTACGTGATACCTTCCTAGGATGTCGTCGTTATTGAACCCTTGATTAAACATAATATTCTATGTATGGGGATTAATTAAAATGTGATTTTATTTTAATAAATTGTTATTTCTTTTTAATTTATGTTTTTTCATTTTCTATAAAGGTCTTAGCTGACATATGGACTGGAAAAGGGATCGTCACCATATTAACTCGTCTCTGGACACGAGCTTGTACCGAGGCGAGGCGATTACGTTACGATTCCGATTAGTGTATGTTGCAATAGAGAGTTTCACACAAAGAACACTGAACGGCTCGAATTGATTCGGTGACGAACCCTTTTCGAGTTAATATGTGTGCTACAACCTTAAACCACAAAATAGATAGAACAGAAGGTAATCTACATCAAAGTGCGCTCGAGTAACGTACACATAGACACTGCTCACGGAGACGATATCTCAGACCAATCAGGACCACTACCAACGTGAGGTCCATCTGCTTGAGACACGCGTCTGTGAACATTTTTGTGAAGAATAGAGCAAGAAAAAGTTATTATGTATTTGTATAGTAGACGGTTGTTTAAAGTCAACATTAAGGCATTGTCCTAATACAACGCGATAACGCGAATGAGCGATGCGATCATCGGACGAGTCGACGATCAAACATATTGATCTAGAATAGGTGTCCTAATAGCCGAACACGCGATGCATTCGCGCGACTAAAATGTTTAAAAATCTATTCGCGCGAACCAAGTTCGCGCGAACGCGCAATCAAACCTATTAATGATGAATAGGTGTCCTAACTGAAGTTCGCGCGATGATCGCGTCGCGTCGATAGGAAGCGGGGAGAGGGGCAGGGCTAACCCGTTCCGTATTCGCGTTCTATTAGGACACCCAGTTCGCGATCACGCGATGGTCGCGTCGTTTAAACGCGCGATGATCGCGTATTAGGACAATGCCTAAAAGGTGAACAGTCCTTATTTCATTTTTTAACTTCAAAAAAGGAGGAGTTTCTATGTTTGACTGTATGTTTTTTTTTATGTATGTTCATCGATTTCTCCGTCAATTGTGGACCGATTTCCAAAATTCTTTTTTTATTCGAAAGAGTGCACTTCCCAGGTGGTCCCATTGGAACCAAGTCAGGATCTGATGGTGGAATCCGGGGAAATCGAGGGAAACCTTCAAATTTCAAAGGCACGCACGATGTTTTTTATGCATGTTCACCGATTTCTCCGTCAATTGTGTTATTGTTTACTTGAACGATGTAATTTTCACTAAAATGGATGATAAAAAAAAATAAACAAAAAATAAAACTCGTTTTCGATTTTGAAGTCAGTTTTTATTTTTTGTATATTTTTTTTTGTAATAATTAGGTATAACAAAAATAAATAAATACTTTAGTTAATATGTATTGTTTTATATTTCCGTTCTTTCTGGTTGATTCTCGACAATAATTCAAAAACTCGTTAAGGGTCCATCCCCTCGATAGTATTTTGTGCATAAACCGAAGTTGACAATCCTAGCGCGACCGCCGAGTGAAGTTCTTTAAAGTAAAATACATGAGATTACCTTCTGTACTGTCTTTTTTGTGCTAAAACCCTCTTCTTAACGGTACCATAAAGTTGGTTTAATCTTTTTTACCACTTCTATTACAGTCATACGCGAAGAACGAAGGTTGGGAGGCGTTTAAGTCTTGCGTCAAGCAAGAAATGAAGAGCGCCGTTTAAGTATACCTTGCAAACATCCCGGTTGTAAATATTAAGTACGAACTTTATAAATATACTAGCTGAGCCAGCTAACTTCGTATCGCCATAAAAATATAGGTGGTAGAAGGGTGAAAATTTAGGGTGACACGAGAATTTTATATATTAGATAATACTCAATTTACAACTTTCAGTAAAGTTAACACAGGTGGTAGAATATTTTGGTTGGGTCTTCTTTTAAAAGAAAGGAACTAATGAACAATGGTGCGAAACAATCTTAGTTGTCTGTCTTTTTAATATTTAAATTGTATAACTTGAGAAAAGCTTGGGTTACTACTTAAATTTTATGTATATATACATAAAATTGTAAGTAGTAACCCAAGCTTTTCTTATTCATTCTTTGTAGTCTGGCAAAGCAAAAGAATGGCGCCGTAACGCGTTACGTAACGAAGCTGTTTAGCCTCCCATAAGAAGTTATCACTTCAAAACGCTCTAAATCTACCTATGTATATATAGAGTGCAAATGTTTAATATTTACAATCGGTTAATGCCAATACCCTGACCCTAGTAAGAGATAACTTACTTTTATATCTAACGGCCAGTTTCAATAATCAAACTCCAAAAAGAATTGCCTAGATATTTTCAATATTTAATTTATAATAACAACTGTTGCTAAGAAATGGAACCAGAATATCCTTACCTTTTACAACTTATTTCTTGCTGGGGATATGTGACTGGAATTGGAAATTTGTTTGTTTTTAATTTGCCATAAAGTTTTGTTAGCAAAGTGTTATGATCGATTTGCATAACTGCATAGTGTGTCTCTTAGTTTGCCATTTGTATGAAATCTACTTATGTTTTTTTGGGTTTATTTGATTTGTGTCAATATCATCGGAAGAAAATCGTCTCGTCGAAAAGAAATCTATTTGATTTTCAGTCAAATATTAGGGATGATGACGTGGTAAAGTCATCGAAATTCTATATTGTCCATTAGTTACATTTATCAAAAAATATTAGACACCTAAGAATCTATTTTCTTGTTATTTTTTTTTTCTAGTTTGTCTGTAGATTTAAACATCTAGCAGTTAAATGCTTAAAAAATATTAGACGTTTATTTTTTCTTTTGTCCATCAATTAAATAATGACAGAAATAAAGTACGTCAAAGAGATAGGGTGCTTGTGACGTCACTCCTAAGTAAAAATTGTAACAAAACGTGACGTTATGTGGCATTTCGAAATCAATATATCTCTGTGATGTTTTCATTATGATAATAAAGACAAAATACGTGTCCAATATCTTTTGATAATGAAATAAAATAATAGACGAAGAAAAAAAAATTTGTCATATCTATTATATCAGCATTTAAAGGCCACGGTAGCCGTTTATCATCAGAAGCACTAAATGCTTATTAGTCATTATATATGAAAAAGTGGCGCTGTTTTTAAGAGCCTCAAACTGGATCTTGCTATTGTTTTCCATGTATATCTTCCATCTCTCTCATTCCACTTGGCACTTTATTCGGTTATTCGTGTTTGCTATTTCTAACTCGACAACAGTCTGTCTTTATCATGCTTCATAAGAAATGAATAGGTCAAACTGGTGCAATGTTTACAAATAGCAAACACGAATAACAAAGAACTCCGACATCAGAATGAGAGTTTTCGCTAGTAAGTAATTAGCGCCATAGTTGGGGGTAGAAGAAGTTAATTAAGTTTTTAGGTGACTTTGATGTCGTATCTTCCAAAAATAGGTCATGGAATGAAAAATCTTGTTAAATACACTTTGAGAGGTGGTGGATCTATCGCTTAGGTGCTGACACTTTCCGCCTTATTACAAAACGTTGACTAAAGTTAAACCTGGTTTAAAACTGATGCTGTCACTTTATGGCTAAAAAGAGGACGGAGACAGTATTAGACTTAAAAATGAATAACTTACAGTCCGCATATTGGAATAAGGCGGTTAATGAACGTTGTTTGTGAAGGATCGCCAGCCTATAATCCATTTAAATTGTAATATTTATTAAGTTTGTATGCACATTAGTTTCAATTGTATTAGTAATATTGCGTTTTGTCAAAGTCCCAAAAAAATGTGGGTTTTATAAACCATGGTGCAAGTGAAACTTTTAATATCATCAATCTTCAAGTCTTTGTTCGGCGTGAATCGAACCCGAGCCGTCGGCGTAGCAGGCGAGCTGCCTACCACTGAGCCACGGATGCTTGTTGATAAGGTCTGAATTTATTAATAACAATTAAAGATGGAATGCGACGTGCTAAAGATGAACGAAAGAAAAATTGTAGCGATATCATAAAAGTTTCACTTCAATACTTATACAGTGTTGCCCACATTGATGGAAATATTGGTGTCGATTCTGGCACGATTATCTAAACCTAAATTTAAATTTGACAACAGTCTATCTTTGTCATTCTCTATTCAGAATGAAAAGGAGAGACTGATCTTAAATTTAGTTTTTAAGTTTAGAGAATCATGCCAGAATCGGCACCATTACCTTTTATACTTACATACGTAAGAACAATTTTGGCTTAGGAAATGTATCCACTATTATGGTGAATTTAATTTCCCCACTTTAATTTTCAAATAACTACGCAATTATGTAGTAATTAATAAGTTTCAGGCTGTGTTTGTTATCTACGTTTTAACTTATTGCATAATTAGGTGCTATTTATTATAATAATAATTTATTTGAAGCCAAATATAAAAATAATCTAGATTATTACAAACTTTCGATATTATTTTTATTTATAACAGTGACCACCATACGTATTATTAAAATAATTTAAATTTCCTTGACAAACGCAGATAAGATATAATAATACACCTAAACGTGCTATCTATAAATAGTTTCAAAACCAGTGTTTTATTTAAATTTATATAAAAATACGGCACACCACACGTTATTTTAATAAACACATAGTATACTATTATCACACGCAACGATATTAAATACCCTAGATACACCAAGGCGAAAAAAAAAGTGCCCGAAACCTGTCCAACAGGTACATTGGACGATCCACGGAGCTCCGTCGCGTAGTCAGAAACAATATAAGGCATTATTTAAACATTGAAAGTCACCTTAAATGCGTACTCTATAAGGTCCTAATTTAAACTCATGCGTCAAAGGGGTATGACAGTTCGTAATGGAAGCTTGTAAAATTTTACGACTTATTGCTATACGCGGAAGAATGTAGACCTTATTTCTTTATCTCTACGCGCAATTCTGAATGCGTTATTTGCATTATAGCAGGTACGGACCGCGAGGAAAAGAAACGGCTATATTGCCGACCATGCATTTGAATATCACAAATATTTTCTACTAAATCAGTTTATAGTAAGTATTAAAACAAAAAGTGCTTCAAAGGCGTTAAATTAACAAACATTGATTAGATACATGTCGAAAAACCGACAATACATACTGCAAGCAATTTCTTCGCATTTTTTCACGGAGCTCTGCGGCAACTTGATTTTTCTACGCTCCATGCTAACTGTGAACAAAGGTGCTTGAGTGGTGTACAAGCACTTCTTGATTGGGACACATTTTGAGCGCTCGTGGTGTATCTAGGATAGTTTAATATCGTTGATCATCAGTGCTAAACACGTGCAGAAAGTTTTAATCACTTTAAATAATGTAAGGCAAAAACAATTCATATTAGAACCACGAAAATCATGATTATATAAGTTCTTATTCAATTCGTGTCTTTATTTTATAATACTCTACTTTTCAAATATAAGTATTAATGTGTCAGTACTAATCAAGAAATTTTAAAACATGTTAGCTTAAAGTAAGAATAGGTATTTAGACAATTTTATTACGTGGTTTTTTATCAAACTTTAATAAAAAGATTATATAATATACGAAAACTACGAAAAGTTCAAGAGCTGCTATTCGGCTGCGGGCCCGCAGACTTTAAATTCCGATCTCGCCTTTTGGTCACACGCATAAAAATCGCAGAGCGCGAGGGCCAGATCCACTCCCCCTAGACAAGGAATAAGCTTAGACTAGTTACGCCGTGTTTTGTTCATGTAACTCAAATGCCATTTGTCATTCAATAAACAGAGACAAAACTTGGAGTAACTAATCCAAGCGTAGTCTTCGTTTATTAATAACGGGTATCGCGACCCGCGTGCACCCGCAACGTGTGCCGCAAGCCGCAAACACCCTCGCACTCTACGGGCGCAAATCGTGCCGTGAATTTTGCTTTTGCATTTTACCCATAATTTGACATTCTACGCGGCGGGCGCGGGACATAATCGCACCGGTAGTTCTTAGACTAAGAATACCAGATGTTGTAATATAATAGACTTCAATTAGATGAGTAAATATACTGAATGCTACTTTTTACTCACCCGATTCTCGTTAATACAAAAACCAACGCCAACTAGTAAACTCTGAATACTAATTTATGTAAAAAATATCGGGTAAGTTAAAAGTCCACGAAGTATATTTTTTAGGAAAATCTTTTACTATAATAAAAATATTGGTAGCCATCATCCTTGTGGAGAGACTATAAGTTATTTCAATGAGATTATTTATTATCATAAAATAAATGTTGTGAGTTTTTTCGCTTATATTAATTTAATTATTCTCATATTTGCAAATGGATGCAAAACTAACATGGTGCTTATGAAAAAAAAAAATATATTTCTTGCGTATAGTTTTTAAATTTTGTGTCAAGTTTTTGTGATATTTAATTAAAAATTGTCTAGCAAATAATGAGAAATCGCTTTTGTCTTCTTGTTTATAAATATTGTCATGGCATTGTTAATGTTGTTGCCTTGCCTAAAACATAATTATTATTTTTTATATGATTAAAATATATGCTAATTTCATCATTGAAACATTTCGCTTGGATAGGTAGGTACTAGTAAATTTACCTTTTTCTTAGATATTTGCTATTTTATAAGATGGTAAGAAACAATCTGCCAAAAGATTAAAAGCCTTAAAATTACCAACATGGGGAAAATATCTCTTCAGTAAATCCAGAAGGTAACATGAATGATACTTAAACAATGTTTAATTTGCTAGTCATTATGATATAAGTTAACGATCGAACTTGTTGTTATTTAAAAACATAGTTACCATTGTTACTAGATCAATTATCATCATCTTTTTATCTCTGTAAGTATGTGTTAAATAAATCGCATCAACGAATAGTGATTTTTCCTTTATTAAAAAATATTATGAAAATTATACTGTTTTTTTTCTATTTTAAATAACCATTCATATTTAACAACCTTCAATATTTACGTAGCACCTTACACTGATTACGCAGTGTTTTATTCACATTTCTCCAAATAAGATCTGTAATTCTGCTTTTATCACAAACATAGAAAAAGGATTGAGTTATTCCTGTCCAACTATCAAGTAATAGCTCAATTACACTTGGTCATTAGCCCGTATTCGGGCGTACGAAAGAAATTACTCGAATTCAGGCACCTGAAGCAATATTTACACTGGAATACACGCATACTCTAATAATGCCTATGTACAGCGAATGAATCGCAAAGTAAGATCAAGGAACAGATGGAACCAAAAGGTACAAACAGGTATGTTACGAAAGAAGGGAAAGCAAGGATAACGGAGGAAACGAGCGAAATGGTAAGGATAATCAAAGAGTTAACAAATAGAGTGAGCGAATTAGAAAGTATAAAAGAAAGAGAACGTGTGCAAGAGGAGGAAAGAGAAAAAGGCAAGAAAGGTAAAGATGAGAATGAAAGTGAGGGTGAGAATGAAATAAAAAATAATATGAGAATAATGAATGAAACGATAATAGATAATAAGGAAAGAATAGTCGGAAATGGTAAGATCCTAGTAAACATTATGGAAATGATGCTGGAGCTTACACAGAATGCGAAAGAAACGAGAGAGGAGCAGAGAAAAATTAATATACTTTTAATTGAGGGGAAAGAGAAAATGGAAGTAAGCAAAAAGAAAATAGAAAGAATGATGAGTATGCAAGTTGAGGAAAGTAAGCAAATGAAAGAGGAATAAGACAAGCTGAAAGAGATAATGATAGAAAATAATAAAGCCTATGGATAGAGGAAGGTAGAGGAAGACTGGAAGCGATAAAAGAGATGCAAGAGAGAGTGGGAAAGCAAATGGAAGAAGAGCATAAGAAACTGACTGAGTTGGGAGCTAAGATAGAGGAACAAAGAAAGGAAGAAACATATGCTGAGAAGGTGAGAAACGTTCCACCCCAAAACAAGTCACTAAATTCCATCATAGTGGCGTCGACCGACGAAACGCTAACGAGCGACCAGGTGTTCGACGCGGTGCGGAAGTCGGTCGATGAAAAAGGGGAGAGGAACGAAGTACGGAGAGTGAGAAAGGCAAAAGGGCAAAAGGTGATAATAGGGTGTGCAAGGGAAAGCGAGGCTGAGAAACTGAAAGAGAAGATAGAGAAGAATAAAAATTTGAAAGTGGAAAGAGCGAAAAATAAATACCCACTATTGATAGAGAGGAATGTAAGAGGAGAGAGACAAAAAAAGGGGAAGTGAAAGAAGGAATAAAAAGAAAACTTGGAAGAATAAATAGGGAAGAAAGGTACAAGAAAGAATATATATAAAAAAAAGTAAAGTATATATTTTTTTTTATTTAATTTTTTTAATCAAGCAATATTACAATTATAATACATATTATAGTGCAAACAAAAACCAGAAAGGTTTATTCGTGCACTATATAGTATATGAAAAGGCAACTAGGAATCCGCATGTGGCGCACGTCGTGGTCAGAGTGGCTCCCACTATCTGGCGGCAGCTGACAGATGCGGAGACTCTTCAACTACAGTGGGGAATCTCCGCTGTGGAAGATCAGTCCCCGTTAATCCAGTGCTCCCGCTGTCTGGGCTATGGCCACATCAGACGGGTCTGCACGGAGGCACTGGACAGCTGCAGCCACTGTGGCCCCCCCACAGTGGCTGCAGCTGTCCAGTGCCTCCGTGTATGCCACATGCCCGAATAAAGACTCCGCGCCTAGTTGCCTAAACTGCAAAAGGGCTGAGCAGAACACCTTTAGCAAACACTGCCCACAGAAAATACTCTGGACAGAATTGCGAGAGCGAAAGTGGCGTATTGCTAAGGGTGTTGTGGGCAAAAACAGAACGGGGAGAGGAACAGAGAAGTGCAAAGAAAAGATATATAGGGTAGAAAAGAGAATTTTGAGAAAAGAAATCAAAGATAGTGGGAAAGGCTGGTCTTGTATTCAAGAATGGAACACGTACTAGGAGAAAGACTGCTGAAGTCCCCTCCTGGAACAACGAAGAGAGTACGAGTGGATGCCGAGGGTAGCCACGAGGCCAAAACAAATGGAGGTAGCAAAATTGATATTTTGAAACCCCATTTGCGGAGGCAAACCGGGCTCCGGAGGCGAACACTCAACTCAGGAAGTAGAAGGCGACCGGGAGGAGACTTCAGGAGCAAACATAGCAAAAGATAAATGAGAAGCAAGCAAAATAGGTCCGAACTGGTGTAAGACAATGCAGTAAAATAAGAGAATAAATATGTATAGACAGAATAAATAATATGTAAATACTAAAAAATGATGACAAAATGTAAATGACGAAAAGTAATGTAATAGAACATAAGTAAAGTATGTAGTATAAGTAGAAGAAAGAATAGAAATAAAAAACAATTGTAAAGTTTAGCTTACTAGAAGGAAAGCAAGAGGAAACTAATACGTATAGAATAAAAAAGAGCAGAGACTGTAAATATAAGATAAATAATAATATTAAAAAGAACCAAATGTAATAGATATTAAGAACAGTTAAATGTAAAAATTTAAAAGAATATGAAAGAGAAAAGAAAAGCGCGCACAAAAAAAATAGACAAAGAGAAAAGAAAAACTCTAAAAAAATAGAAATACAAAAACAAAAAGAAAGAAAAAGTCCTGCCACTGAGTGGGGAAGCCGGATACTTTAAAAAAAAAATGCCTATGTACTCCTGTATCAGGGAATACAGACGCAAGGAGGGAGTTCTGTTTCCTAGTGGTTTTTTTTTATTTTATTTCAACACATACCAATTAGCCTAGCCCCAAAAAGGCACTGGTGTCGATTCTGGCACGATTCTCTAAATCTAAACTTAAATTTGACAACAGTGTATCCTTGTCATTCTCTATACGGAATGAATAGGAGAGACAGATTGTAAATTTAGTTTTAAGTTTAGAGAATCACGCTAGAATCGACACCACTGTAGGCTTGTGTTATGGGATATTAGGGTAACGTATAGAATACATTTAATGATACATATTTATTCCCTTGCTGTGTAAGTGGATGATTTCTGCCAGGGTTTAAGAAAATAATTTTTCATATTTAAATTTTTCCTATTTTGCGTTTTATCGTATTTAGTATTGGTTTTTAATTTAGATATCTAATGGTGTCGATTCTGGCATGATTCTCTAAAGCTAAACTTAAAGACAACGAGTGTATCCTTGTCATTCTCTTGAAATAATGAAAAGGACAGACTGATGTTAAATTTAGTTTTAAGTTTAGAGAATCCTGCCAGAATCGACACCAATGTTAAGATAAGTTTGTAGAGAAACTAACCAGGATTGATTTAAGATATAAATGAAGCCTGGATGTACTGTAGAATTCGAATATTAAGAGACAAACAAACCTAGACTGATAAAACAAAGTGGCTGGCTACACAGCCAAGGTGATAAGTATATTTATGTAGAAACATCCATGATGTTATGGTTTCTTCAATTATGATGGGTCCTCTGTATATTTAAATAAAACAATGTGTTGACTTCACACGCAGTTTTATTTGCCAGCCATGTTGGTGTAAGAGAGAGGGTGAGAGTGAGACAAAACATATTCAACGACAACAGACAACGGTCCGATTCACCTATGTAACACATGACTGGTGTACAAATGCTCGTCAGCCATCACACAAACATTTGCCGCCACCGGGATTCGAACCCGGGGACCTCACGAGTAGGCGACACCTTGAAACCCGGTGTACAAACCACTTTGCCACCTAGGGTACGCCGGCTGGGGGAGGTGTGTCCACTATGTACGGATGAACGGGGGCCACGTCTCGAAATCCGATGGTAAAAAAAGTAGACGAAATAGATTTTGACCTTGTGCACACTCCCCGAAATGTAACTAGGGGGCCAATCGCCTAACGAGATTACTATAACTATCGCTATCATTTACGATTCCTTTTTTTTCTGACCGCTGAAGGTTTTGAAATACATCGCGCTGGTTTTTTTCCTTTGGCATTGGTAATAATAAGAATATTAAAGAAAATGAGTATAACGTATTTGAGAACCTTCGGGGTCAGAAATAACAAAATGATATCGTAAGCGATAGCTATAGCCATAGCAATCCCCTTAGGTAATAGACCCCCTGTTCAAAACACTCAGAAACGCAACCAGGCGGCGATGTTCGAGGATTTGTAGCTGTCTGGTTGTGAATACTTCATCGCCTATGAGTTTTCTAGCACGTCTATCAAAAAGCTTCCAAGGTTTCAAGCTGGTAGCGGGCTGATACATCCCACATGTAGGAGCGGTACCTACTTCATGCATGGCAGAACTTGTGCTGAATAAAGATTCAGTAGTTGGGACGTAGACCGATTAAAAATAATTTGAATTGGTCGTCTAATGTCATTATCGTATCAATTCACCTTTCCGAAAATAAAAAAAAACATGAGTTTGAAAATATTTTAATTTAATTTAAATTTTCAGTTTCATAATATTGAAATCGATATTCATACACATAAAGAAATAAATGTTCCAACAAATTACAGACTCACATAAAGCATTTTTACAAGCTTAATTATTTTAACTTTATACATCTCAAGAGCTACGTATGTAAGTATATACCAACCTAGTGTAGAAAGAAAATGCCATAGTTTTGAAATAAACTATTGTTTTTAACAATTCGGTCAGTAGTCGAAATATCTTTTTTTTTATATCTTATTAATGACAATATGTGAGTGTGTTAATTTTCACAGTCCTCTTAATTATTAATTAATAAATAAATAAAATACAAATAAGTACTTCCTTACAACCGAATACTGAATTTACCCGATTTTTGAGTTGGTACTTCTAGTAGGATTAAATAAATGCAATATAAGCCCTTTATCTCAAGAAAAGTTTACCAGACCAGGCAGCAGACGGGACTCGAGCCCGCACCCTTCGCTATCCAGGCGAATGCACTGACCATTATGCTACCGCGGCCCTGACGGCCGTGTCGAATTTTCTCTAGCCTTAGGCTGTAAGGCAGCGCCATCTCTACACATCGTAGGCAACCCACAATGTTGCTTAAAAAAAACAAATATAAGCCCTTTATGTTTAAATTGGTGATAAGATTCAGTATTTGGTCGTATAATACTCATATTAGAAACTTAATGCAAAAACAATACTTTGAGCAGTCAACCCGTTAACAAAAATTAATTTGATAAAAAATCATTTTCAGTATCTGTTATTTTATGAACATTTATATAAACACGTTCTGTTTAGATTAATTGCGTATTTAAAAGGTTTATTTTTGTCACAATCTTATTTCACAACAATCATAATTATAAAAAGTACAATGTTTATTTTTAATGTTAACGTTTTGAAATTTAACATGATAAACAAATACTGTAAAACATCGTACAACCATTATAATATTTAGGGCAATTTAACTGAAATACAATTATAAAGAAAAATATTATTGCATTTAATGTTTACCAACTAAGCATAATAAGTTATATCACGCATTCTTATTGTATTTACTGTAGTTCTTGTGAGCATTAAAATATTCTTAGAATTTGCAAAATGTATTTATTTGTTTACTGAAAAATAAATAAATACAAAATGCGCAACTTTGTATTGCGGTTAAACTATCAACAGCACTATAGCTAAGGCTTGGATGTACCTACTTCAAATCATTTTTATAAGGATGGATGTAATTCCTAATTTATATCACTCAATTATGTAATTATAGTTAGCTGTTACTGCTTTTCCATTTTAATAATTATATGTATTAAGTCTTCGTTACTTTACAATACGTTTATCATCCCTCATTAGCCTACTAATATCCCCACTGCTAAAGCAAGCACAAGCCTCCCCAATAAATTGGTCCTAAAAATGGATCAATACCCACAACGCGGTTACAATACGGATTGGTGGATGCGAACGACTGCAGATGCTGCATCTCATGTTAAGCTGTTGGTCCCGGCTTAACATGTCATCTAAAGCACAGGGGCGGTCCAAACAATAAGTAATCCTATGACCAATTCAAATCAGTACCAGTTGCCTAAAGGTCAGAACTCATTGGAACGAGGTGAACATTTGCCTAACGGGATTGCTATGGCTATCGCTATCGCTCAATTTTTATTTTAACCGACTTCAAAAAAGGAGGTTTGTGTTGGACTGTATATATATATTTTTTGTTATTTCTGAACGCCGAAGGTTTTCAAATGCCTCGCGCTCTTTTTTTCTATTACATTGATAATAACAATTTGAAGAAAATGAGCGTGAGGTATTTGAAAACTTGGTGAAGATACGGAGTTGTTGTAGCGTATGCCCATAGAAATTCATACAAAGAATATCAAACCACATGAGTTGAGGCGGTGAACCACATGACCTTGTACGATCGCTGTCCACTGCGCCATCTCTTACTCCGTTATTACGTAAGTGAATATAATCATTAAAAGGATGTTATCCTGCTATCTAAGTAACAGCCTTAGCTACGGCATTGGATAATTAATGTGACAGATCCATAACGAACAACGATTGCAATACACTTAAAAATAAAAGTAAATCAAATCTGGGTCTTATTGTCTAACTTGGAACTCCTTCTGCTTCTGTTCCCCTTTACCAAAGCTGATCTCTTCATCAAAGGTCAAATAAAACCGGTAGCGGGAGGAGTCAAATTTAGACACACGCCCCAGTTACAACAAACTAATGAGAGTGTTTAGGAATATTTACGTCACCACTTGACGACACTGTGACGTGGGTCTTTTGTAAAAATCTTTTGGCGCGAACTAATTGAACGAGCATTTAACCCCTGCCCCTCTAGCATGACCGGGAATGATGAAATGAAATATGAAAAAAACATGAAACGGGATATGATAAAGCGATATATCGGCATTGACTGTCAGACTACTGTCAAACTCAACTGTAGTCTGACAGTTAATGCCGATATATCGCTTTATCATATCCCATTTCGGTGGTCATGCGAGAGGGGGTGGTCTGTGTAAATGGCAGATTTCTGTCAATGTCAAAAAACCCCTGGCCTGTGTAAATGTCAGATTTCTACCAACGTCAAAAAAACCCCTGTCTGAAGGTGATGGCAGATTTCTGCTACGACTTGAGAAAATTATTCTCTTTTTTTATATTTTGCGTTTTATCATATTTAGTTATGGTTTTTAATTTACACATCTAATATATAGATACGTTTGTAGAGAACCTATTCAAAATTCATTTAAGACATAAATGAAGCCTGGGTGTACAGTAGAACTCGAATAATAAGAAGAAAATCGGCCGGAAAATCAAAAAAATGTAAGGCCGTGAAAAACTAAATGGACGGCAATCACAGACAGGTTTTTGAGCGTCATATTGCTTCCACATTTGACGGGTTATATTGATCTATAGACTATGAAGACATACGTGATTTGACGGATGAGTAGACCTTTCGTCTCAGTGCTGCCACCTGGTGCCCGTCATTCCAGAATACCCTCATTGGAAAGCGACCATAGAAATAGAGAATGAAAATAAACAACTCTCTCCAAAGATAGAAAGCGATGGAGCTATTAGCCGCACGATCGCTTCGTCTCTCTCATATACCTATATCTGAGGATCAAGCACGAACTTTGACAGCTCCGTTATTGTATCGCATCGTCAAAGTTTCTATGAAACTTAAGCAGCGCCTCTACCGGACGTAAGAACAAACTGGCTTCTTCCATAAAAAAATTGACGATGACGTTAAGATTACGAATCTGCCAGTTCGTGCTTGGGGCTTCTGCCCAGTTTTACTTTAGAGTTGTACAGGCAAAGTCAGTCCATTCTCTGTATATGGTTACAACAAACTAAAAGCGAACTATCACTACACACTCTTGTGTCAATAGCATATTATTATCATAATAACACAAACGAAAAGCTTTAAATAAATGAAAAATAAAATCTCACGTAGCTGGATGGCAGCTGGGCTCTAATAAACATTTACTTTATAATTTTGAGAAAGAGTACCGTATATGGAAATTCATTCCCACAATGGACTGATCCGAATTAATTAGAAATTCTCATTATTGTGATCGTTGTAAGCATTTATGTTGTGACGATATACGTCATCGTTTCTGTCCCCGTGGCATGAGCACCACAATTTACATTAGGTCACGTTTTTTTATCGCAACTGCAGCTGTTTTGACGGCAGCCATCGGCTACGATACGGTCGTGTATATAAAGCCTAAGGATACCTGTCCACAAGGGCGTCACTAAGGGGGTGCAGGAGGGGGCAACTGCCCCCCCCCCCCTGCTAGAGATCAAATATAGCTAGCCACAAAGCGACCAAAGTGCGAGCAATTGACTTCCTTACCTATTATATTGCTCCATTGCCACCACTCTCCACTCCACTGGAGCGGAGCGCAGAAACGAAGATATTAATCATATCAAAATCTCCCCTCGTCTCTTTAGTAGGCAGATTTGCAAAATTGTCCGCTCTTCTTCAGTGGAGAGATTTTTTGCAATCCTATTGGTTAATATTTCTCTGTTTCTCCGTTCCGGTGGACAGGCAGCAAAAGGCTAAGAACTCGCGGAGCGCGTTTTTCCCACACCTGCCGCGGGCCGCCCGCAGAGCGGACCGGACATTGTCCGGATTTTTCAAATTACATTGCATATAAATAATAAAAGTACATATTGATTTAAATACCATACCATTGTCACTAAGTCAGTAATGGTACCTACTATTTTGTGATTAAAATATCCGGACTTTTTCGAAATGTCAGGATTTTTGTCTGGACTTGAAATTCCTAAATGGTAACCCTTCCTGTACTACAATACCTTTATTTTTATTTATACGAAAAAAAAAAGTTAGTCATCATCCCTATTGAGCTTGATAAAAACGAGGTATTCTCATATTGCAGTGCTCATGCCAAGGAGGCAGGATTGTCATCCCTCTTCTATCAATTGACATCTTTTAAATTTATTTATATTTATTACAAAAATATCTTAATCAATGAAGAAAGACAGAGAGAGAGAAAAACTTATTACATCATAGAAAACAAAATGAGCCAAATATGTTATCCTATTAACTTACATCGTAACTTGTGGAGCTAGGTTTATTAATTCTAAGAGAATTTTCAACATTAACACTTTAACAAACGGTATGTTGATAAGAATTCTTAACATTAACACATTAAGAAACATTATGTTTAACAGATTGATTCACATTGGGAACATGTACATGCCATATTCGATACCCCGCCTCTACATAAATAAATATCTCTCTCAATTTTTATCGATAATTTCGTTGGTTTAACACCCGGGGGCGGACACTAAGTTCATATTTTGTCCCGCTTCAGTCGCCACTGTGAGACGATGTCGCAAAGCGAAGGCAGCCACCACTCGGGCCACCTGAGCGAAAATATACTTTATTACAAAGCAGAAAGGTTCACTGGTCCTTAGCTCCCAATTATAGATATCTTCTAAGCCATTATTTATTACTTCGTAGTAAAAAGGAATCCGTTGAATGTATAGAAGAAATCTCGTATTATACAATTTGAGGAGTGCTAACCAATTTTACGATGAATAGCCAATACGAAAACTACACCTAAATTAAGAAACTTTTGAGAAATAAGAATGTATGAATCTTGAACTGAATGAATTACACACTTTAACTAGTAAACCGTAGAGTTCAAATGGTCATAACTGTTAACACTTCTTAATAATGAACTTTATGGATGTGAGCCCCAGTCTAGTTTTGGAACACAATAAACAAATGGTTGCAAATGCTTGGTTTAGTTTGTCAAGTCAGAATCTGCACGATTCTGCCCTTGTCTGTTGTTCCGTATTAGCCTTTTTTTGTTGCCTATTAAAATTTTAATCAAATTTTACACCCTAACCCCCTTCTTAATAGAAGAAAACTAAGCTTGGATTAGTAACTCTATATTTTCTCTCTGTTAATTGAATGACAAATGGCACTTGAGTGATATGAAGGTGGTAAAAGTTTAACTTTCTACAACAAAAATTATACTACGTCCTTCATTGTCGTTCCCTTATCTCCATATCAATAATTTTCAAAATCAGTTGAGCGATGTAAGGGTCAAATAGTAACAAAGAGAGTAATTTTATTATATTCTTATTTTAAGCATTAAGCTGTTAGATTTATAAATCTAAAGAACATTTTAGTAGAAGAATTGTTTCTGTCACAACGTGTCCGTGATGCTAGCGTACCCATGATCAATATACGGTTTTTCGTTATGCCATTAAATACTGCGTAAATAGTGCCAATTTAGTGTAAAAATAAAAAAAATAGTGCCTCTTTAATTAAAGAAATAAAGACCATTTTTACTGTGTACGCTACCATGACGTCAAGCTAGCGTACCCATGGCCGACCCCAAGAACGGCATATATTTAAGCAACAAAATTGACACACAAAAATAGTTCGCAAATAGTGCCCTGGCTTTACAAAATTTCATAATCAATACTCTTAAAGGACCAAAGATATTGAACTAAACATTCTTAGCTGGCGTCAACCTGGCGTACCCATAAAAGTTCTCATAGAAAATTAACTTTTCTTGTTATCAATTCTATATGTATAATTAGTGTGTCAAATAGTGCCTCTAACAGTAAAAGTATTTTATGTTAATTCGCAGTAAAACAATATAAAAAAAGCAATTAAATTATTTTTATATATGAAGTACAGTCATGTACAGAAGTGATAATATTTTCGTATAGTATAGTAGGTAAGTAAGGTACTTAGTAGGTAGGTAGGTAGGTAGGTTGAAATTCTTATATGAATTTATGATTGGTGAATTCGAATTGAAATATAATATCTTTTTATAAAAAGTACCTATTTATTTTAGTAAAAATACATATATAGATAATCTCTTAGTGCATAAATTAATTTTGTGTGTAACTGTACTACAATACATTTGTTCCTAGAATTTAACAACCTCTTTATGTATTGTTGTGATGCGGATTCACATAAAATACTTTTACTGTTAGAGGCACTATTTGACACACTATTTATACATATAGAATTGATAACGAGAAAAGTTCATTTTCTATGAGAACTATTATGGGTACGCCAGGTTGACGCCAGCTAAGAATGTTTAGTTCAATATCTTTGGTCCTTTAAGAGTATTGATTATGAAATTTTGTAAAGCCAGGGCACTATTTGCGAACTATTTTTGTGTGTCAATTTCGTTGCTTAAATATATGCCGTTCTTGGGGTCGGCCATGGGTACGCTAGCTTGACGTCATGGTAGCGTACACAGTAAAAATGGTATTTATTTCTTAAATTAAAGAGGCACTATTTTTATTATTTTTACACTAATTTGGCACTATTTACGCACTATTTAATGGCATAACGAAAACCCGTATATTGATCGTGGGTACGCTAGCATCACGGACACGTCACAACTGATGCCACTTGGTCCGAAAGGACTTTTTTCTAATAAAATCTTGTTTAAACAGAGTAACCGTCACATTTTTAGTAATTAAAGTTTTTATTTCGTTAACAACTGTCTCAGATTAACAAGTTGATAGTGTAATATCTAAAAGTCTAAGAAACATTTTTTTTCGAAATTTTGGTCTGAATTTTAATAATTTTATTGTTTTGTTTAATAACCAATTTGACTTCATCATTCTCATCATCAGCCTATTAATGTTCCCACTGCTGAGGCACAGTCTTCCCTATGGATGGAATAGGGAAATTGGGCCACGCGGACGCGGGCCCTGGCGGATTAGCGGGTGCTAATTTACTTATTTGTGACTAAAGCAAACCTTTGAAAAAATGTGTCTTTGATTTGTGTATTTTACTTACTTCCTCTGGTGTGTCTTCGTGTACCGCGTGGCCGCATCGCGTTAACACTTGCATTTGGAATTTACCTACAAACATGAAAGTTAAAATATAAATGCCATATAATAACTATTTGAAAAAATGTTACATCGTAACAAACGACGATCCACCATTTAATGTTTAATTTCAACAACGATCTACTGATTTAAACCTTTTTTTTGTTGCTCTATTTTTGCACAGAAAGTTCACAGACGCGTATCTCAAGCGAATGGAATTCGCGCTCGCAGTGGTCCCAACTGGTCTGAGATATCGTGTCCGTGAGCGGTGTCTGTGTGCGTTTTGCACGAGTGAATTTTGTATGTAGATTACCTTCTGTATTGAGGTAGTGGTTGTTATCAACCACTACCCCCGTGCTGTTCCATACACAAAACAACGACACTCACCCTGCATCTGTCCGACGGTGAGGTCGCGGTCGAGCCCGTCCACGGAGGCGAGCAGCAGCAGGCGCGGCGCAGGCGCGGACAGGAAGCTGCCCGAAAGCCCGCGGAACCACCCGCCCCAGTGTTGTTCCGTGCGGGCTAACTCTATGCGCCACTTGTAACGACTGAATAACACACAATATAAGATGTAACGACTGAATAACGCACCGTTCCGTTTCTTAACAGCAGTTTTTATTTAAGTCATTGCAAAAATGAATGTTAAGGAATAATGAGAGGTCGATTAAGAGAGGTAGAGCATAGCGGACTTTTCGCCCAAATTGGAGCACCCATCTGGGAAGTATCCTCCACCTTACAGAAGGCAACAGTAAAATAACACTACCTTTTGGTGGTGTTGTGTTTCTATCGGTGAGTAAAGTTCCGGGGCTCGATGGGGTTGGGGATTGGATCAGGGTAGGCAACGGCGCGAGTAATATTTTGTGTATCACAAGCAAAGGGGGGGGGGGGGGGGGCACTATTTAACAGGATTGCGTAGGCGAGGATAAGAAGCTGCCAGAGAGCCCGCGGAACCATCCGCCCCTCTGCGCGGGACAACTTTATGCGCCACTTATAACCACCAAATAACACCAATTATAAGTCTTACTCAAAGTGGCCATACTCAAAATAGTCAATTAACCTTCGAATTTGATTAGTTATTACTGTTACTTTCTTTGTGACAACAATAGAATGAAACATTGCATAACTTTATAAAGTATTTAATTCATTATTTTGATGTGTTCGAGTACAGCTGCTAAATTTAATTGGGAATTTTAAACTAGCGAAAGCCAGTGATTTTCAGTGGAATTTAAGAAAGATTATAAAATATTTGAAAATATATTAAAACTAAATGTGGAACATTGCAATGGGTGATTCTCAGTTAAGAGGTAATCGGTTGTATGGAAGCAGTGGCACAGCAAAAAGTGTCGATATTTATATAACTATACCACTACTTTTATCAAGACAGATGATTTTAAGATGATCAGTCATTTTTTTAATTTATTCTCGTTTTACGAGACACCAGGGGAGATGCTGAGTACAGGGTAGAGACAAGATAAACTTTATTGCAATGCGCTTAGAGCGCATATTAGGATGTAAAGTACTTATCCGTGCAATCAGATTTTAGTGGAATAACGATATAAAGCTAAACAATTATCTAAAATTATATGCAATTGTACATTCTCTAATAAATTATCATTACTGTTATTGAGCTATTGCATCGTTTTCATAGTTTTGTTAGTAGCCTGGCACCATAACAGCCAGGGGAAATATGGCAAGAGAGAGACATTTTCGTTAAAAATCTAAAATTGCCGTAAAACTACTAATTTTACAAAGATTACAAATAAATAAAAGGTTTGCAGCACTATTTAAAATAAATGTATATAGATATTGTAGTATTTAAACACTTAAATACGAAAAAAAAATTACTAGGGTAAATACTTCGATCACTCAACACGGATGCACTCATAGAGCACAGTTGCGCAAATGGCCAAAAAAATTGCCACGCGGATGGCTTGTGCAGCGCTTGCTGCTAACTTCACGTGACACTCGGTGTCTTCAAGGTCTAAACTACCACAGACTATGGTAAACAAATACGATTTTCAAACTAAACCTAAGGCCAGGGGGCGAGACACGAAACTCGGAGGACACAGTTTGCGATTAATATTTTTTATAAAAAGTGCAAATATAAATGAATTTAATGGTTACATACTGTAACTAAGTTATCAGGGTTCATGTTATTACCGATAGAAAAGTGATAATTAAATTTCAATGGACTCAAAATTACTGATTTACAAAAAAAAACGGTTAGGGGACAACCCAGGGGAGAGATGTTTTTCCTCTTTGTGCTGTTATTGTAAGTAAATTATGCACATTTAGAATATAATTTTAAGTGACGATTTGGAACACATTTAGTTAATTGAAATTATTCAGATTTTAGACCATAATTTCCAAATATAATGATTTTTTTGGCTTAGCCGTCGAACATACCTCTTAACTGAGAATCACCTGCATGTTTTTAACACTAACCAAATTAAATAAACTTTATACTATAACTTACTTCAATTCTCCATTAGGTTTTGCGAAATGTACGTCGTCTGGGGAAGTTGGTGTGGCTATCTCTGTGACTGGTTGGTCTCCATCTAACGGTTCCTCTTCTTCGGCAATAGAGTCAGCCCTCGTTAGAGGCATTGATTCTGAATCTAAGCTGTCATCAGTGATCCCTTCTTCTACCTCACGAGTTGCAAGCGCACCCGTTTCACAGCTAAAAATTTGAGAAAAGAATACTCTAATATCAACAATGCCAATTTTATATTGGAAGTACAAAGGAGATTGCTCAAATTGGCCCAAATGCACAAAAAATATTGACATATACGGTAATTCTTGGCGTAATTTATACTTTATTTTACAGTCATTAGATTTTAACGGACACCTTTGTATAATATATTCATTTTAAAAAGGACTTTTAATTTTACCAGTTTAGAAAACATACGAATAATTTTTAATGGCTATGGGCGTAGTAACATTCAGCCAAAGACTGATCGAAATTGTTTGTATAACATAAAATTGAATCTATTTTGTAAAGATCGATAAAATAAATCATTTTTTTAATTACACTGCGGGATTAATATCTACAAGTATATTAACATTTTCACTACATGCAAATGTGCTAAGACAATTATTATAGATGGTAGGCGACATCATAAGTCTATTGCCATACATTTTTCGCCAAACACCTCCATAAACATATTATAAGGTATGATACACTAAAAATCTAAAATATGGTTATAATATAAACATAACAAAAATAATGTAGCTACTGAAGATATGGCTGTATAACCTAAATCTCTTAGCTTTCTTTGGTTAACGAGAGTTTAAAAATTCTCTCTAATCTGTGGCTCATTTACAAACATCACACAGTTTCTGTCACAGAGTACCCTATTATAACCGGAAATGCATAGATGATACCTGATTTTAAAAGTTACTTTTGTGCATTAACTTTAAAAACAGACAATTATCTGTAAATCTACATGTTCTATATACCTGATTTTAATACATAATTTCGGTACTTAGCTTGATTTCGGTAGTTTACTATATAACTTATTTGTTTTTTATTATTTTAATACCTATGTACCTATTTGCAAAAATAACTTCAAAATCGTTCAGTGTATATGGTTTATAGAAGTTCTCAGGGGTGTCCGTTAGTAATATTCGTTTCTACAGTAATTTATATATAATTTCGAATCTAGGAAACAATTTTTCATGATTATTGGTCTTTAGGCCAAGCATGTATGGAAGCTGAGCAATCTCCTTTGCTTAACAATCTTTTATACCAAAAAGTAATTATTTAAAAGCCAGCCTTGACTTTAATAATACTGTACTTTTAAAACTATTCTGTTGAATTAAATTGTTAAAAATAAGCTATTCACATACTTGACTATTTGACTGGGCATTGACACTCTTGCAGATGCAACATTTCTCACTTGTCCACTCCTCACACTGAAAAAGAATGAATATTAAATGTCTCTAGGATTAAACTTATTCCATTCATGTACAGATGATTGTAATTACCACCACTCAATGGCATGTCGAATGCTTTTGAAATGGGTTGGTCGACCCCTTAGAAAACTTTGCATACTCGCCAATGCTTCCATTGCAGTACCTAAAATAAAATAATAATAGAAATCACGTCAAAAATACAATATTGTACAATCATTAAAAGTAATTTAACAACAGAACGGATATTTATGAATAGATTTGGTTGATACACCATTCTTGTTTCTTAAACATTATCATGCTCAGAAACAAATGCAGTAACAAAAGCAGAACAAGAGAGATGGGGCCACCACCTTTGGATACAATGGTGTAAATATGTAGGTCAAAGGTATAAAAAAATTGTTCTTACCTTCCACTACATCAATAACAACAAGCCCTTGAACATAACCTTGAAGAGAGGGGAGGTGCGCGGCTCTAACTGCAATAGCACCTCCCATGGAGTGACCCATGAGAATAAGAGGTGGCATTTCATCACCATACAACTTGTGAAGTACTTGTTCTACATCACTAGAATAGACAAATATATTAAGTGACATTGAATGTACAGAAACTTATTGCAATAGTTTTAGACTGTTCCTGCTTTGTTTTCTACACAATTAATATTTTTATATGTAATCTGATTGTACAAATAAAATTGACAGACCACCAGTTTCATCTATTTTACACAAATATAATTTTACTTTATTAATATTTACTGAAATTTAATTTTTAATAAAAAATCAAGTAACAGTCGGCATATTACACTGTCCATATTACCACAATATCATGAACAACTTGTGATACTGCGATTCTAGTATAAATAATGTAAGATACCTCAATAACAGAAAGCAGATTACTGGTAAGTTTTTCTAACTAATTTGAATATTTCTATGGCATAATAAAAAATATGTTGCAGACTAACTTGACAAGAGTTTCAGCACTGAGATCATCTGGTTCTTTAGCTTGCGTCTCACCGTGACCCCTGATATCCATTGATACAACTTGACAATGTATCATATTTGTGATTTCTTCCTGTATATAAAATAATTTATTTTTAATTGTAGCACAATAAATTTAAGACATGTGCTGTATTTTAGGATAATAAAAGGCCAGCTTTATGATAATCTATTACATGACGCAGATTGGAAGGGACAAAGTGAAATGTCTAGAGGCAATAAATAATATTTGACTTAAAAATAAATGTGAATGAGCAAAAAGATAGATATAATGAATGAAATTTCACTATTTTCATAAATCTATAAGAAAGGCTTATTATATATGTTGTTTAAAATACTCACAGTAAACAGAGCCCAATTCAACTATTGTCATACAACTCTATAGCCTTGTTTTATATACTCACAGTGAAGAGAGCCCAACTCAATCCTGAATATCCACCACCATGCAGTGTTACAATTCTGGGACGGTTAGGTTCGTCAGGTTCTTCTGAGAAGTAAACACGGAATGTCCCACCTTCAGTTTTCACATCTTCACATTTTTTAAAGAACTTCCTCCACGACTCAGGCTGATAATTCTTACAACGACTAGACATTCCAAAAGGCGCCAGCTTCCTAGAGAATACAGTTTCAAACAGTCAGAACGTCAGTCAGTTGAAGCCTAAGAATAATAATAATTGTTTAAACATAATCATTATTGCCAGTACCGACAGAGTATTGAACTTAGATAGAATGTAAATAGCTATTAAATTTTCATGAATTTAAGTTTCAAGGCAAATAATTTCATAGGTAATGTCTAAAAATTGAGATTCATACTGTTTGTTACTTCGTGGGCATCTTGGAGGTAACTTATTCTTCATTATGGTTTTTTGTAATGCAGACATTATCAAGGGGCGTTTTTATTCAAAAAGCTATAAGTTGAATAATAAAATCCTTGTGCTCTAACAAAATCGGCATTTATCAAACAAAATTACAAAACAATTTGTGCACAATTATCGGAAACCTGACAGAGACTAGTAGGGATGTGAAGAAATAATCAGTTAAAAATCGATTATTGTAAATGAAAAATCGTTTTTTATAGGTGATTTTATTTTAAGCAATAATTGATTAATAATCGATTTTTTTAATAATCATTCTAGCAATTATTACTGATTTTTCATCTATAACTCCCCGACTTTATTTGGTTTCCTGGCCAGGAGTCCGGAACGCGAACTACCAATGAATAGACTTGTTCTTATCTAAACTTCTTAAATCTCACAATGTTTAATAAGTTGAACTTAAAGAAAAATAACGTTGCCTTAAAAGCTTAAAAGTTTTTCTAAGAATATTTGCTTAATGTGACGTTTGGTTACAAGAAATAGCTTTGCTCTACGTCATTTAAGTGTTAAGAACTTATAAGCCTTTAAGGCATTGTTATGTTTTTCACATGTTAAAAAATTAACTTTTTTTAAAGTTTTTTTAAATTTATAACAAATTTTATTATCGTTATTTAATATGAAATCGATTTTTACAAAAATTGCACTGCGCATGCACTGCGCGTTTTACATACATTGGTGTCGATTCCGGCATGATTCTCTAAACCTAAAATTAAATTTGACAACAGTGTATCCTTGTCATTCTCTATACAGGATAAAAAAGGACAGACTGATGTTAAATCTTTATATATATAATTCTTCTGTGAGTGTGTATGTCACTGAACTTCTCTTAAACGACTGGACCGATTTTGATGAAATTTTTTGTGTGTGTTCAAGGGGATCTGAGAATGGTTTAGATTCACAATTTTGTCCGCTGGACAACCCCTATTTTTTTAGGGCGGTACGAAGTTCGCTGGGTCAGCTAGTTTAGGTATAAGTTTAGATAATTATGCCAGAATCGATACCAATGTCTTTTTCAAAAAAGGTTCCCGTTTCTAGACATATTGACAATATTTTATTTACGTACAACAATACACTAAATAAATTTAACTGTAATTTTCATCTATTTGCACTTTCAAAAGTCACTGTCTTTTAATATTTACAATTACTACACCAACATCAATTAAAATTTTAATTTTGACTATTTATAAAAAACAAAATTCAATAAACAGTCTGCTCATATTTTTCGCGAAAAAAGGATTCTGATTTTCGTTACGTTGCGTTGACTGAGAGAAATAACTAAATACTTCATCATTAATTCATTCAACTTATTCATTCATTTCGTTGTGTAATGTTAAATGCTTGATTTATTCGTGTCGAACGAATTAAGTCTATCGGTAACTGAAATTAAGAGCTAAATTCAAAATACATTTATTTCTATAATTTAATTTTGTTGATTTATGTGAAAAACATTTAAATTTGAATCTTTTATAATTGGATTGTTCTAAATAAAACTTTAATTTGTGTTGATTATATGAGACCTTACTTTTTCTGTTATTTATTTTTAATCAACAAATATAGTGATACAGTATTTCTGGCGTTTATTTTGAAATTGAATGGGAAAATTAGGAAAAAATCAATTATTTTCTGAAGAAAAATCGATTATTTATTAATCGATTTTTATGCACAATATACATCCCTTACTAATTGCATTTTTTTTATTTACTGGTATTGAGGACAAATAGAAACAAATGTCACATCTAAATTATAGTTGCGCTGATTTATTCAGTTGAAAGTAATTGAATAACTAGAATTTAAATCCAAGTGCCAAAAAGAATAAAGCAAATTAAGACGCAAAATAATGTCGTTTTAATACAAGTTTCGTTGCCACACAACCTTAAAAGAAAAAACATTTTTTGCATTTTTTTATTTAGAGTGGTTTGAACTAGGTTTGAACACACCTTTTTGAGAAAAATCTGTCAGGTGTCGATACTGGCACGATTCTCTAAATCTAAACTTAAAGAACAATGCCCACTGCCCATACATTCGAAAACCTGTCACTTCGGTTTTTTCTTTATGGATGTATATTGACTGTTGAGGTTGTTAATTAATTATTACAATCTTCTGAAATAATGTTGCTAATTTGGTTTGATTTGGCAATGAGGAATAGAAGTTATAACGAAAACTAATTCTGAGGTTATTCAACTGCTAAAGATGTCATTTACTTACTCTGTGGTTACGAGATATATAATTTATTAAGGGATAGTATAAATAAGTAACATGGCAAATATTAAACTAAAACTATACTAAAACTATACAAATATTAAAAATATTAAAAAAATAGCTGCCCTAGGTCTTCCCCGTCGGCAAAGGTTCCCAGGACGCTGGCGGCATTTCCCCGCTGAATGGCGAGGCTTATGCGCTGGGCGAAATAGCCGCCAGCTCTGCGGTCTCCAGTGGTCTCCACCAATCTTTTTGTGATTTCTTTGAAAAGATGGTGGGCACCGGAGCCCCAGGGTCCCTGAGTCTCGACTCCAAACGCCGCAAATGTGAGGTCTCCACTGAGGCAATCATACTTGCGGCGCTTAAGGGCCTCTGCGGTCGAAGCAGCCGCGCCAGCCTGCATCGAGGTTCCGGGAATATGAGACGGGGCCAGAGTGTCGACGCAGGTTGCGTCCCACACAAGTGCCCGTCCCAGCTTCCAAGGAACGAGTGTCATGCCGTCGGGCCTCTTACCGTCGTCGCGCGCCAGGCCGCTTGGTTCTAAAACGGCAGGCACGCTGGCGGAGGCGAGGGCCCTGCGGATGACATCGTTGATGCAGTGGTGGCGGGTTATACGGCCGGCACTCCTTGTGCAGGAGAGACCGTGATGGCCGAGGTTGGTGACAAACGCTCCGCACCGGCAAAGATGGGGGACGACACAGGGCGAGCCAAGGCGCAAGGACGTGGCTATGCGAAAAGTTGAGCGGTCTAGGAGCGTACCGATATTCGCGGAAGGCAGTACCTGCAGCCATAGTCCAGACTCCCACTCGCCAACGGCTAAGAGACGCGCACGGTCTGCGGGACTGCTAGCTGTTTCTACAAGCGCATTGCGTTTCAGCCTGCAGAGTGGCGCGTCCCAAAGTCGCTGGGAGGCAGGGTCCGTCGGGACGTCGGTGTCAGGGCATGCTGCACTCCAGGTTGCTACGGCTTCATCTAGAAGCGAGAACAAGGACTCGCTCAAAGGACGCCCAAGTATTTTCGCAACGAGTGGTTCGGTAGAGTGTATTGAAGAAATGAAGGCCGGGAGGGAGACGTCCGAAGTGTTGCGTACACCCAAACCACCGAACCTAACTGGGAGTGATGCTTGGGTCCAGGAACGGAGGTCAAATTTTATATTTAAGACAGAGAAGAGAGTATGTCTTATGACACCGTCCAACTTTGTTAAGAGAGAGGGAAATTTCCAAAGTGGACAGCATCGCAAGACATACGTAAATTTAGGGACGAAAAGACAGTACCGGATTATGACATAGGCCATTTGGCAGTTAATTTTGAGTAAAGGTTCAAAAACTTCTTCATATTTTTTTAAATTTTGATCTATAAAAACTGGGAGTGATTCATCAAAAATCGGGGACCCTAGGAGGCAAAGTGATTTCTTATCTAACAGTCTTATGCTTGGAGCTATTAGTTGGAATTTAGAAATGATTGCCTCCCTGTTGTCGAGGCTTTCTGGAACAAAAATCTCGCATTTTGCAAAATTTAGTTCCAGGCCTATTTTGCTAAACTCGTTTTTAAGCATAAGAAAATCAGAGAGGACTGTGGTCACGTCGCCTCCTAGGGTGCCATCATCAAGATACCACATATTTAATTTAGAATTTAGATGGTCGATGATTGGGTGTATAGCCAGACTAAAAATGGCTGGGCCGAGAGGGTCACCCTGCTGGCATCCGACTGAGGAGGATAGGAGGTGGTCTTTATATAAAAGTTTTGATGGTTTGCTGTAGCACTGCCACATAAAGTTATATAGAGCTGGAGCCCTCAGTCTGATTTGTGACAGCATGGTGCCCCTATCAACGGTATTGAAAGCGTTTTTGACGTCGACTTTTAAAATTACCTCACCACCCTTGGACTCTGCAAAGGCTCGGAGCGAATGTACGGCAGCCTCGCAGCCGCCTTTAGAGCCAAACCCAAGTTGTATAGGCTGGAAATAAGTCCCGAGCGTATCCGCTGTAGCTTTGCAGCAGATCTTAGCAACGAGACGTCGATATGTCGAACCTACTGCGATGGGGCGGATGCCGCCGTCTTTTTTTCTAAGGGCGCATAAATTGGCTCCATATAGTAGGTCGACGATATCGGTGGCAACTTTCCCACTCAGCATCAAATTGCACAGTGAGGTAATGGCCTCAAGCAGAGAGTCGCCGGCTTCACCACAGCATCCACTGGTAAGGTCCTTAAGGTGTTGTGGGGATAGGCCATCAAGGCCGCCCGCTGATCCTGGAAGAAAGGAAGAAAGTGCAAAGCGGACGGCATCTTTGGATGTTTGAAGCGGTTGGTCTGCGAGGCCAGGTGCTGTGGGAAAAGTCTCGTTGCATGCTGGGGACGGGTGTTTGGCTTGCAGGGCAGAGAGAGTCTCTGGAGAGTCCGGTGCCACCGCATCGTTAGAAAATAATAAACGCGCAGCACCCTTGATGTCGCCATCACTTATCTTATTTTCTATATATTTTAATGGGTTACGAATTAATGTTGGGGAGTAGGAAACTGGGGATTGGAATAAGGTCGGATTTAGGTTGGTACTGCAGTTGCGTTTAATAAGTGTTGTGAGCGACAAATCGCGGTCCGTGCCTTTTTCGATATGAAGGATACGAAAGGGAAAGGTTAGTAAACGCTCCCAGGAGTGGTTTGAGTTGAGGCGTACAGTATCTCGAATGAGTTTAGTCAGGTGTTGGGCGACGGTAACTCTTGCACCCCTTGGGATACGTTTTAGCAATGGGACATGTTGTTTTAGATGGGCGATTTGGAGCCAAAATGGTTCGGATAAGTGTAAATTTTGAACAGGTAAAGAGGCTGGTACTGAGCTATGTATATTTAGAGGCTTATGGCATTTACCAATATGGATACGTAAGCCTCTCTCACCTTTGAAAAACCGGGGCTGCGCGCAGAGCCTGCACTGGACATGGTTCTCTAGTGATGCGTTGGCAGTAGAAGTTCCTGCGTCTTGGCTTTGCATGCAACTTATCACTAATTCACTTATAAACTATTTAAATTAACAGAATTTGTAAAAAAAAATAAAAACAGCACTATAAAAATATAATACAATAGAATTGGTCAGTTTTGGCAGCAGCAGAGGTGCGCAGACTGACACCGCGCATCTTGACAGCTGCGCGCGCAGGAGGACTCCGTAGAGTTATTTCTTCTGGAGCTATGTTGTAACTAGGCGACCCGGTACAACGCTTATGGTCTCCAGGGCGACCCTATGGCGTCGTGGTTGTCAAATGCGAGCAGCGCTGATCAGCTGATTGTTTCAAAATTAGCACAATAAGACACCGCACGACACCGTCCACACACTCCGGGCAAGAGGTGGCTCCAACGAACGCCAGCCACGGGTCCTTAGTGCCTTTGAATATGTCGCACTATTTTTATTTCATTAAAATTGATGCGCATGTGTTGTCAACAGCCACCATTTTTTTTTTTTTTTTTTTTTGAATCAAATAATTAATAAATGGTTACGAGATTGATTATAGATTATTTAATGCCGGAACTTCACTTGGCTATTTGTAAACTTGACAACAGTCTGTCCTTATCATGTTTTAAGGAAAGAAAAGGACAGACTGAAGTCAAGTTTACATGAATAGCCAAGTGAAGTGCCAGCATAAGATTATTCATTTGTGTGCTGTCACAGCTGTGGTGTCTTAGCCCAGCTAGGTATTTATTTCAATTCGCTTGTTTTGTTTGATTGAAGCTTGATCTGAGGATTGAAGAAAAAAGGATTAATATCATAACATGTATCATGCTGAGGTGTCATCCTTATAATATTGTCTTTGGAATTAAACAAGTTTTTTTTTATATTTAATCAATAATTCAGTTTCAATTATTTTATTGAAATAGTAGGTACTTAATGTCTTAGTTTCTGCAAGCGAATGAATAAATGATAATCTTGACCTTTACCTAATTATATCTATAGACATCTAAGACATTTAACTATGTATTATTTAAATCTCTGGTAGACAAGTATATAAGTAGGTAATAATCTAAAATAAAATTACAATACCTTCCATTAATTGAGATGATTGGTACTATGAGCAGCTGTCATTATTGCTGGCATTTTTTCGGAACGAATTTCCTTCTCATGTAGTCAGCCGAAGAGATGATGGAGTCCTAACTATTTCGGTCATGTTTCACTAAGAAAATGGCCAGTCTTTGTTAAGAACGGAAAGAAACTTTAAATTAAAGCCATGCCTTTTAAGTATTACAATGGTGTCGATTCTAGCATGATTCTCTAAACCTAAACTTAAATTTGACAACAGTGCATCCTTGTCATTCTCTGTGCAGAATGAAAAGGAGAGACTGATGTTTAATTTAGTTTTAAGTTTAGAGAATCACGCCAGAATTGGCACCATTACCATTTAAATACGGTATTTACCGCATGGCTGGCAACATTGGAAAGGAGAGTGCGAATCTACATTTAAGCTGCGTTCATAATTATGTCATTTTACTTTGATACAATACTCTTCCCTAATGGATGCGTTCGTGTGATAGCAAAAAATGTACCTACATAATGATTATTTACAAAAAATATTTTTGAAAAAACTGTATTGTAGTTTTTGTTGATATTTTGATTTCGTAATAAGCGAATAATTACCTTTTTTTTGAGGTATGTCACATAATTATACATGCAAAATTTTTTTACAGATTTGACAGGTCACAAATGGGCATCCTTCTTTGACAACAGTGTATCCTTGTCATTCTCTATACAAAATGAAAAGAAGAGACTGATGTTAATTTAGTTTTAAGTTTAGAGAATCACTGCATGGCTCTGCCTTTGCCTTTCCCAAGATGGGAAAAAAGATATAAAAAAAAAAAAAAAATTTAGAGAATCACGCCAGAATTGACACCAGTTATTGTTGTTATATGTCAACTGTCAACCAACTGTCAGTTGCTCCTTTGGGCTTTGGGGTTTCATGCAAAACTAAATTGTTAATTTAATTTCTTTTTAATAGTAGTTTACTGTATGATTGGTGAATAAATTATTATTCATCTCATCAGTGAGCAAATGCCATTATAATTGATTTTCGGGACATTTTTGAATAACTGTTAATATGGATTTTTCACAAATATGCCGCGTTTGTCTTCAATCAAATAAACAAACTTACTATGACATTTACAACAGCTTTTACACTAAAAAGAATTTATTGTATTGTGAAATGCTGTCTTATTGCACCAAAGTAAAGGTATTTTTCACAAAATATTGAACAATTCTAGTAATACCTATGTAGGTATTAAAAATAACTGTATCTACTAAGATTTATTTTTAGCCCAGCAAAGAGGATGGATTGCCGCAATTATTGTGTAAAGAATGCTGCAGACAGTTACGAAAAACTTACGCATTTAATAAGCAATGTGAAGATAGTGATTTAAAGTTAAAACAACATTTGGATAATTTTGTCTCTTCTAATATCAAAGGTGAAGAATCATTCCTCGATTATGGTTCTACAGCAAAATCCAGAAATGACTGTAAAATTGAAAACCAGTCTAATACAATTTCGACTAATGCTGAAACCAACTCACAACTATTGGTACAGGAAGATAATTTAAAAAATGTAGAAGATAAGTTATCTGCTTCTGATGATCACAAAGAAGTTACAGATGATATTAAGTCCGGTTAGTTTGTTTAATACTAAATCTCGTCTACTGTATTAACCAGTGATTCATTTTAACCAGAATTCCAAAAATGTGGGCTAAAATGTGTACCTTATAATCAATTTATTTATTGAGCCAACACAGATATTTACCTATACGTTCAGTTATTCTTTTCAGAGCCTAATTATTATAACACATATGAAAACACCTTCTGGGATGACAATGATGATATCTCACTTGAAGATATTAAGGTTCAGAAAAACAAAGGTAATCCATACTATTTTTTATGCCAATTTGTTATATTTCGTTAGTTGAAAAAAATGGCGCAAATTAAATTTAACCTTCTTTATATTGCAGAATTGAAAGAAGAAAAACCAAAGAAAAAGAGAGGAAGAAAGAAAAAAGGTTGATATTAATAATTATACCTTAAATCTTTCTTATGTTTGGCAATAAACTGTTGTTCATTAAATACTCAGTTAATTATATGAATACTTGCAATGTGAATCACTCAGGAATCACTTGTAAAAATAGAATATCTTGATTAGATTTATATCAATACTTTAAACTATTTATTACTTGTCTAGATGGTGAGATGTCTTTGCCAGAAAGCAAACTACCTCATCAATGTGATGTTTGTGGCAAAATATTAAGTACAAAAAGCAATCTCAAAGCACATAAGATTTGTCACACAGATCTTCGGCCATACAAATGTACTGATTGCCCTGCCACATTTAGGTGAGAGAACTTATTTGTCATCAAAATCCTATATAGGTATTTATGTAAACAGTAGCTAGTAGTAGAATAAAAAGCAATATTAATATATGCACTTATATTTTAATTTTACGCACATTAACTATTTGATTCCAAACTTAAGAGGGGCTGCGGACTGCAAACTGCAGCGACATTACTTGTTTCTATGAAGCTGTATAAAACTGATTCCAAACGCGGCGACAGTGCACGGCACGACCCCTGCGACCGCAGCGCATACTGGAGTGACTGAGGCATGGTTCTATACAAATCAACCACAATCACTGGCGACACTGCTGTCGACCGCAGTCTGCCCTTCGTTTCGGAATTGTACCTTTATGCAGAATGTAAATCCTCATTGAAATGATAAATGTCATCAAAATGTACTAGGAAATATTTATTCACAGGGGACATAGCGCCTTGTTTCAACATAAAAAGGTTCACACAGGTGAAACTCCATACCACTGCCAGTACTGTCCTAAGCAATTCAGCAGGCGAACAGGCCTCGTCAATCACATACGAATGCATACAGGCATGTTTTTTTTATTTGATTTAATAAACATTGTTTGTAAGTATTTTTAACAAGTGTTCTTTATATTTAGGCCATCACTAACAAACTTTTTTCGCATCCAATCCATGACAAAAATTAATATCTCTTTAATGCTTATCAAATTATTAATAAACAATGAATAATATAGTTATGCAGTGTTTTGTTCATATAACTCAAATGCAATTTTTCATTCAATAAACGGAGTGAAAACAAGTAGTAATTCAAGCTTATTCTTTGTTTATGTATAAGGGAGATTGTTACAAAGGTCCAAGCAGGATTCTGAAAATGTCTGAAATTTATAGTAACATACATAAAAAAATATCGGATTCAAATGAATTTGTTGTTTATAATTCAGCAGAAAGAAAATTTGTGGTAAAATAATTTATTTTGTAATTATTCTTAAGAGATGTTAAATGGAGATATCCAAAATCCTAAACTAATATAAATGCAAAAGTGTGTCTGTCTGTCTTTTACCTTATGAAATTTGGAATATAGATACTTTGAGTTCCAGTTGAGGGCATAAATCTCTTTGAGGGGTGAAAAGGCCGGTGAAAGTTTTATATTATGTTATTGATAAATCCATTATATTCTCATTCCAGGAGAAAAATTGTACAGTTGTGACATTTGTTTCAAGACTTTTGTCCAAAGCGCACAGCTCTCAATACACATGAAAAGGCATAAGGGAGACAAATCTTTCCTGTGTCAGGATTGTGGTAAAGGTAAATATCTAATTTTACACAGTACAGTACCCAGACAGCTTCGTTATATTTTATTCACTTAATCATGGAAATTATGAAAATCTAATATTACGCTGCTTTTAGGTTTCTATACATAAAGTTTGTCTAGCTTCCATTGTCTGTTTATCTGTCAATGGGCTATAATATCCCATCAACAATAGCCATATACATAGACAGTTTAATATTACAATACATAGGTACACATATACTGTCGTAACAACAAATAATAATACATAACAACAACAATAACAACATTATTAATATAATGAAGTTAAAAATAAAATGAGATTTATGAAAGAAACATTTTTGCTCCTTCAACTTTGTATGAATGACGATATTCATACAAGGTTGAAGGAGCAAAAATGTTAAAAGCTTATTATTGATGTTTTTCTTCTATAAGGTGAATATATACCTATTTACAACAGATAATATTATTTCTAGGTTTCCCTATAAAATCAGACTTGAGAGTTCATCAGCGAATCCACAATGGCGAGAAACCGTATGCCTGCCATCTCTGTACGAAAACTTTCGCAACTTCTGGAAACCTATCAATTCATGTTCGGATACATAATAAAGAAGTAAGGTGAGTAACGCCTTATTCAGGGATATTTTTATCCTTTAATGAATCTAATGAGCTAATATGCTACAATAAACTCAATTTTATATGTTTGACGTTTAAATCTAAAGGAAATATAACTATAAAAAAATCCACGCGGACCAGTGGGCCAATCGCCTAAACAGATTGCTTTGGAAAACGCTATCGCTTACGATTTCATTTTGTTATTTCTAACCGCCGAAATACCTCACGCTCATTTTCTTTAACATTGTTATTACCAATGCAAAAGAAAAAAAAAGAGCGCGAGGCATTTGAAAACCTCAGGGGGCTAGAAATAACAAAATGAAATCGTAAGCGATAGCGTTTTCCAAAGCAATCCAGTTAGGCGATTGGCCCCCAGGCAGCAGACGGGCGAATGCACTGACCAATTATGCTACCGCGGCCCTGACGGCCGCGTCGGAATTCCTCTAGCCATTCTTAAGCTGCAAAGCAAAACATTTTTTTTAATTCAATCGCCTTATGCGAAAAGATTTTGACTATTTCCAATAGAAGTAAACAGTAGATTTATTTTTCCTATTGTAAGTTAATGTAGAATATTTGCAAATACTATTTTCCTTTTTTTGTACTGATCGTTCTACCGTTAGTTACGGAAAAAACGATAATATGCACAACTTCAAACGCCTGAATCTCTAAATAATGTTCAATAAATCAGATCAAATTAATTACTACGATCTCCCTATTCCATCCATAGGGAAGGCCTGTGCCCCAGCATAATAGCAGTGGGGACATTAATAGGCTGATGATGATGATGAATTACTACGACATCAGAAATATGTTTTCGTTGTAACATAATATATTAAAATTTTGATTTTCCATGTCATTAATTATCAAAAAAACAGTGAGTTTACCCAAAAAATAATGCAGGTTTACCTCGTATTTTGATATAAGATTAAATATAATTACTATCAAAAACTTTCATAAAACTAATCTACCATCATTGAACTACTGAAATATGTATATATTTTTATAATTAGTTCATGAATAATTATTTTATAAGACTCGAAATATCACCCGTAAAATGCAATACATACACGTGCAAATCTACCTACGCGCTGATAAATACGGCAGCGGCGCAAATTTGTAAAAGTGCTCTTAATGTGCCTTAAAAATGCATTTAAAATTAACATTTTCAATTTTCCCGCGTAGTAAACGAAAATGATTGCTCTGCGGTCTTGACGTCATTAGTATTGTAAATAAATGCGTTACCTTCGTTAAGAAAACATGAAAAGAACTAAGTTGACACCTGACACTTTAGCATATAATAATAATATAATAATAATAATAATAATTCATTTATTTCAATCATAAAGATCATAGCATGCCAATGACAAAATAATAATAAATAGTAATAATTATGATACATAAAAATAAATTAAATTACATCTCCACATACAATTACATTTAAAACAAAAATTAAATTCAATTCAATCGGTTTCACACCTAAGTATTAACAGTTTCAGAATTTCAAAAATAAAATGTCAAAATTTAAAACGGTAAAATAAAAATTAAATGTCAAAATTTAAAATAGTAAAATAAAAATTAAATGTCAAAAATTTAAAATGGTAAAATAAAATTGAAATGTCAAAATTAAAATGTTATGATTAAAATGTCAGAATTTAATTTCAAAGTTATATTAATTTGGTAGAGATTAACGCTTATATTATATATAAATAACAAAATTTTATATAGTCACTACATGAATCATAGCCACGTGGTTCATATAGTGACAGTCAAATCTACTCGAAAAGAGTTTCAGGATTGTGTTAGGGCTGCTCCGTACTCTGCTGACGAGAGAAGTGCATCGCTTACGCATGATTGTATAAAAACAATCCACACGGTATTGTGCAAACATAGCTGAAGCGCTGCAGAATCGAGGCAGCCCCAACAATACCCTCAGAGCATTATTATATTGGACCCGCAAGGCGCTGTACTGTTTCTTTGTGTAGTTGGTCCACAGGCTGCAGGTGTAAAAAGATGTACAAAAAGCTCTAAACAGTGTAATTTTAACATCACCTGAACAGCGAGCAAATCTGTGTGCAATCATGTTTGCCCTAACAGACAGCGCCCTGCGCTCCCTTTCTATATCTGTATCGTCCTTCAAGTCGGCGGTAACCCAATGGCCCAAATATTTGAAACGATCAACCACTTGAAGTGGTAAGCCGTTCAGTTTAATAGCTGGCACATAATCCAGACGCCCACCACCGGCCTGAAAAACCATACATTCACTCTTTTTCGAGTTATACAACAAACCATGACTAAGTGCGTAACGCTCACAGATAGACAGCAACTTATTCAAACCACACACTGAAGCGCTCAGCAGCACCATGTCATCCGCATAACTAATATTATTGAGACAAACGTCATCAATATGGCAGCCTACATGTGTGCTGCTAAGCTCCTCCAGAAGGGCATTCACATATAAGTTGAAGAGTTTGGGAGAGGTCAGCCCTCCCTGCCTCAGCCCGCACTCCAGCCTATATGGATCCGAATATGCATTAGACCAGCGGACCACATTGACCTGATTTTCGTACCAGTATTTGAACAGACTAACAAGATCAGTTACAGAACAGACTAACATAATATAATAGCGGTGTGATGTAATATTGTGGCGGTACCTACGTCTATAATTTCATCTCATACAGACTCATTTAACTTGCAAGTTCCTTAGAAAATTTTGCTAAAATTATGTTTTTACAATATCAGGTATGACTGCAAAGTGTGTCACCGCGGGTTTGTGACTCGCAGCGCTTTCAACGTCCACGTTAAAAGGCACAAGGGGCAAAGGGACTATCATTGCGAATGCGGCAAGACATTTTACACATCTTCAGCACTAAAACAGCACAAAGTCGTCCACACCGGTGAGAAGAAGTATCAATGCAAAATCTGTGAAAGGAAATTCACTCAAACCAGTCACCTCAGTCGACATTTCAAAAGGGATCACATGAAACCAAACGCACCAATCCCATCGTCGGATTACTACAAAACAGTATTGCAAGACAGCAGTAAAGTTTTCAACATGCTGGGGGACAGTGCCCCAAAAATTGATTCCGGAGTCAAATGTGAAGGCACGACATAGGATTTAGATATCTTCTTAAAGTTATGAAAGAACTGTGATGTTAAACTATTAGTTTATGGGAGTCAAATCATCCAGGTGATGATTTTTAAAAGGTGCAACTGAGTTGCTTTCACTCACTTCAGTTACCTATATTTGTTTTGTTATCAATTTCAGTGCAGCAATGCTCATTGTATTGTCTATGGCTTTTATGATTACTGTTGTTGCCAGTTGTATTCTTTATGGTCTCATTGCTAATATCTAATGGTGCCGTATCATAAACTCAGGGTGTGACATTTGCCATTGTTAAAGTGAATCGATATAAGTACACAATGTAAATAACTGCTTTGAAAATTACTTAAACTTAGTTTTACGTATTGTTTACAGTTACCAATTAATAAGTTATCTTTCTATAAGTAAAACTTTGGTACCTTAAGTGTCCCCCAATCATTATGTCTGTGAAGTACCTACCTATTATAAAGAATTTATTTTAAGATATTCATTATACCTAAGTAAAATACATTAACGGCTGTATTCAGAGTCGTTTATTAACTTTTAAATTGATTAAATACTTACTAATATTCTGTCACCTTTTCGCAGTATTAGACGGTATTATTTTAGAAAAACAACAACACAGAATAACATGAAATTTATTTTATGTCTGACTACAGATGTAAGAATAAAAAAATGAATTTTTTGCTGTGCAAAACACAAAATGAATATGTATTAATAAAAATGTAAAACATTATTTTCAAAACTCGCTGTATTTGTTTGCATTTATTGTTTTTACTCCACGTCTTCACTCTGTGATTTAATGCAAACTGTTGATTAGTATTCCTTGGTATTCCTATTCGCTAACTGCTTTTGACAGCCGGAAGTAATAACTAATCACCGACCGATTTCGTGATCCGCTACTGCTTTATATAACGCCGCCAATTGCTTACTTGTTCTAAAAAGCATCGATGGATATGCAATTTTCCCTTTAGTTACACATGTAATTATGTCAAAAAGATTAGCAAATAGGCCGGCAGGGCTTGTATGTACACTTTGCTGTTAAATAAAATAAGTTTCACGTATCTATTTTACATAAGTATCAAAAATGATTGAGTGAAAGGGATATATTCATTATTTTTATCTCAATCTAAAATACAAATAGATAGTAAAAGGTTTCCATCATCATCATCATCAGTTAATGTCCCCACTGCTGGGGTACAGGCCTTCCCTATGCACGGAATAGGGAGAATGGGCCAGGAGGACCACGCGCGCCCAGTGCGGATTGCTGGGTGCTAATAAACAAATTCATAACATACTTTTCGAAGCATAGCATAACGAGGAGCTTGAGATATTTTTGGTCACCCATCCAATGACCGACCACTGCGAAATTTTCTTAATTTCAACGATCTCATCCGAATGCGTAAACCACTTGCTCCATCGAGCCCATAAAACTATTTTTAAATAAATAACGAACACAGTTGCTATTTGAATTATCAGTTTTAATCAACTGATGGTAAGGCAAATACCTGAGTCAATATTTATATTTTTAGTAAATATTTGCCTATTGTAGTCATTCCGACTTCATCGCTGCAACCTATTTCTTTTTCAAGAACAATAATTTATGGTCACCCCATTAGACAGAGACAAATGGCCTCCGTAGTGTGCCATTTCTTGGGCCCATACATGAAACAGCTTGCTTCGCTACATAATGATTCTGGCATCATCATTTAAACCTATAATAATTCACAATCTGCGCAGGTTCTCGCCTTGTTTTCCGATTTTGCCAGTTATTTGGAGCGAGACAAAGAAACGATGGACGCGAGAACAGACATGAACTTGCATTGACTCCACAATCGCATGTTTCTAAGTAGCGAGCAACGCGCCGATTAGAAATGATATGAATGGTATTTGTTTTTTTATCTTTATTAAAAGCGGACCTAATTATGAAAATGCACATCGTCATCAAGTGCAAGAACTGCATTGAGAACCTTGAGAATGTGTACCCAAAGAAATTCTTGCCGTGATTATCGCTAAGATTAATACCAAAATTCTCGGCGAATTCCTCGCGTGAAGTATGGAGCGGGCTTTAGAGACTTTGGCCCTCTTTATTCTATCTGTGCATAATGATCACAATCACTAATCTGTGACTGTGAGTCGAGTTGTGAGTTGACTGATCGTGACGTGCGATTTGCGTTTGTAGTTTTTATTTATTTTCACTTAGTTTTACATTAATTTTCCTAATGTATTTAAGAAAGTCGTACTTTTAGGATGACAATGGAAAGGAGAATTAAGTTGAAAACACTCAACAGTCACATAACTTGTAAAATTTGCCGTGGATATTTTATAGACGCCACCACCGTCACTGAATGCCTACATACGTGTAAGTATTTTCATTTATTTAATTGCAAGTAGCAATAATTAAATAAAATCTGCAGATTGTGGTTTAGAGTAAATAATCTTCCATTAAATCAATCGTTCAAGCAACTGTTCTAAGAAACTAGGTTAACAATCAACAAACATCTAACCAAATAACAAATGCCATAAGCCATAAACTGTGTTTTAGAAAATATTAGTAAACTTTTATAGATGTATTTTTAGTTTTTGAGCATTTAAGCGCTAGATATTATGTATTTTCCTTAGATAAAAACTTTTATATTTAATAAATTTTAATTTATTTTTCAGTTTGTAAAAGTTGTCTTGTGAAGCATCTTGAAGAGAACAACACTTGCCCAACATGCAACATAGTGATACATCAATCGCATCCATTACAATACATCAGTTTCGACAGAACAATGCAAGATATTGTATATAAGTTGGTGCCCGATCTACAGGATAGTAAGAACACAAGATTTATTAATTTATTTTGCATATTATGTTTGGCTGTATTTAATTCCTGTTTGTCTATTGTCCTATAAATGGTTATCACCTTTTCATGATGTCTAATAATAATTTTGAGTACTGTCATCAAAAAAGTTTCTTTTTATTGTTATATGCAGGGTTTTTAAACTACAATAAAATTGTTTTCAGATGAGTTAAAACGTGAGCGTGATTTCTACCGTGCGCGTAATCTCCCATGCCCTAAGGATGCTGCGTTGGCAGCAGACAAGCCAGGTGCAGGAGATGAGCCTGAGCAACCAGACAACACAGACTGCCATCGAAAAGATGAACAAGTATTTTTTTTTTATTTATTTAATTTTTAATAGATTTTTATTTATTAATGCAGAAAGTAAATTATATTCAATTATTTGGAAGACTTCAGTAATTATAGTGGTTCTAATGTACTACTTGAGAAAAGACTTGGCGAAATCTATAAATAGTTTCATGAATGAACCAAAGTAATATTTTGAATATACATAATATATGAATTAATATAATATCTACATTTTATTTTCAGGTGAATGTGTGTCTAGAATGCATTTCCACTTCCCTTAGAACTCTAAAAAGAAGTTTTATTAGGTGCTCAGCTCAGGCTACCATAACACACTTAAAAAAATTTGTAGCAAAAAAAGTTTTAAATGGCATTGAAAAATATAGAGAAGTAAGTATTATATTATTAATATTTATTTACTGATGAGGTTTAAAAGTATTCACAAATGAAATTAATAAAATGTTGTTTATTTCAGATAGATATATTATGCAATGATGAATTATTAGGAAAGGACCACACATTAAAGTTTGTATATGTGACAAGGTGGAGATTTCGAGACCCCCCATTAAGACTTCAGTATCGTCCAAAGATAGATTTATAAATCAAATAAGTTCAATAAAAGGTCATGATAAGATTAACTTTGTGCTATTTTGTAGTACAATAAAATAGAAACTAAATTATCTAAAATGAGATTTTCTCACATTTGTATAAATGAACAGATTTGTGAAACTAAAAACTGGCTGGTGAAAGCCAACACAAGAAATTTGAATTTGTTAGTAGTATTTTTATTTGATCACAAGTTTGAAATTCATGAAGTATTTGCTTATATTGTAGTATGTACATTGTAATCACACTTGCAATATATCTAAACATACACACATACAGCATAATATTTTTGTAGATCTAGTTTTTTTTGCTAATTTTAGTCTATTTCTACAATGAAGAAACTAAATTTTATTATTACACTTTAAAAAAAAAAGTACTTAGGTACTACAAGAACCTAAATACTTTTTATTAAAAGACGAGAATTTACTTGTATTTTTTTTTAAAGTGGGCTTAATAAAATTTAGTTTATTTAAGCAATTTTGTTACATTAACTGTACAAGTAAATTAAAAAATAATATAACACAAGTAATATTATTTTCTTGTATAAGCACAATTCTATCAAAATTAAACTGTGTGATTGATTATATATTTATGTATACCACATTTATGAAGGAACATCATATGTGAATCTTGGCTTTTTAGTTTTTTTCTTGTGTTTATTATTGTGATGACAAAGATTTTAAGAAAGAAATTTTTCAAAATTATCAATATATGACAAGCATGGAAAAAAATCAGGCTGGTGTTTTTGTACTTTTTGCTGATGCATTTGTATGATATATGTATGAATTGCACCCATGTGAAACCAGGCAAGGGGCTGGCTGGCATTTTTTAATTAAATTAATAAATGTATAAAGTAAAATGATAACTTGAAACTGAAAATCAGAAAACAATAATGTGTATGAAAATGCTTTATTGGTTCCATAAAGACTAAATTTGAATGCAAAATTTTTTATGATAAACTTGTAAACTACATGTACTCATGACTGGAATCAGACAGAAACAAAAGGAAACTATCCTTAACTTTATTGTTTATTAATGGATGAATCACAAATACAAATATGTACCAATAATTTAAATTATTCATACAATAATTGTTGATTAAGGGAGTGATGTAGCATAATAAGTTATTGTGGTGTTAATTTTGCATGTTTCTTATCGGAATATCTTAGTTTAGTTAATTTAGTAATGAATCACACTTGTTAATTTCTTGTAAATAATCTTTTAACACTGCTTTGAATACGTAAATGAGTATGATTTCATTAGTAATTTAATTAGATTATTTTTATTGCAATTTGTAAATGGAAATTTATATAACTTATGTTTAATATCTCAGTTCTTTAATGAACTTAGAGGGAGGGTGAAGACGGAAGCTTGTTTTATTATTTTAAGTTTGTTGATATTGTTTTAGAAAAGGGTTATGTTACCGTTATCTCACTTTACTGTGCACATCATAATAATTCGTGACTTTTTGTTTACTTGATATTCTTTATTTAAATAGGAAGTATTACTGATTTTATTTTATTTTATTAGATAATTATTTAGATTAGTTAAGTAACATAGTATTTTTGTGCAAGTGGAAAATGTTAACAGGTAAAGAATTTTTAAAAATATACCTAATTTCCAATTATCTACTTCTTTACCGTCTTTTCTTGATACCAATGAGGTATTTTTTTTATAGTTTAATCCATTCGTAAAGATTGCTGATGCGTTGGAAATACGTGCCACGCCAGTTATTCTTACGTTGCCGGCTTTTTATTACTCTACCCAGTGTGAGGTGCTAATTAGCTCATTATAAAAAGTAAATGCAATAAGTATTCCAAAATTTCGACATTACTATCGTCGAATTAAAGAAATAAATGTACAAATCGTACGAGCCAAGAACAAAATATGATCACCTTATTAGAATAATACTAAATAATATTTCCAACACACACACCAATTAACGTAGCACCAAAGTAAGCACTGTAAGGCTTGTGTTATGGGATGCTAGGGTAAAGAATAGAATACATATACTCTTACATATATAAGTATATTTATATAAATACATATTAAACGTCCATGACTGGAGTACAAATGCTCGTATTCATCACACAAACATCTGCCTCCACCGGTATTCGAACCCGGGTCCTCTCGAGTCGGCGACACCATGAAACCCGGCGTACAAACCACTCGGCCAAGGAGTGTCCGTGATGCTAGCGTACCCACGATCAATATACGGTTTTTCGTTATGCCATTAAATAGTGCCAAATTAGTGTAAAAATAAAAAAAATAGTGCCTCTTTAATTTAAGAAATAAAGACCTTTTTTACTGTGTACGCTACCATGACGTCAAGCTAGCGTACCCATGGCCGACTCCAAGAACGGCATATATTTAAGCAACGAAATTGACACACAAAAATAGTTCGCAAATAGTGCCCTGGCTTTACAAAATTTCATAATCAATACTCTTAAAGTACCAAAGATATTGAACTAAACATTCTTAGCTGGCGTCAACCTGGCGTACCCATAATAGTTCTCATAGAAAATGAACTTTTATCGTTATCAATTCTATATGTATAAATAGTGTGTCAAATAGTGCCTCTAATAGTAAAAGTATTTTATGTGAATCCGCATCACAACAATACATAAAAAGAATCTTAAATTCTAGGAACAAATGTATTGTAGTACAGTTGCACACAAAATTAATTTATGCACTAAGAAATTATCTATAATATGTATTTTTACTAAAATAAATAGGTACTTTTTATAAAAAGATATTTTATTTCAATTCGAATTCACCAATCATAAATTCATATAAGAATTTCAACCTACCTACTAAGTACCTTACTTACCTACTATACTACGAAAATATTATCACTTCTGTACATGACTGTACTTTATATATAAAAATAATTTAATTGCTTTTTTTATATTGTTTTACTGTGAATTCACATAAAATTACTAATTATTTAATTATTATTAAATAATTAGTAATTTTATTACAATTAATTAATTAAGTTACTTGTATTTATTTACTCGTATCGTTAGGGTGCGGCCAGAGTGCACTCAGATTCAGATTCCGAAAACAAGCGCGAGAAATAAACAGTGTAGTCGAAGGGTACGGCCAGAGTGCACTCCTGATTCAGATTCAGACTCAGAAAACAAGCGCGAGAAATAAACAGTGTAGTTAAAGCAGGATGGCCATAGTGGCCGCAGGCAACGTGTCCGTGATGCTAGCGTACACACGATCAATATACGGTTTTTCGTTATGCCATTAAATACTGCGTAAATAGTGTAAAATTAGTGTAAAAATAAAAAAAAATGTGCCTCTTTAATTTAAGAAATAAAGACCATTATTGCTGTGTACGCTACCATGACGTCAAGCTAGCGTACCCATGGCCGACCCCAAGAACGGTATATATTTAAGCAACAAAATTACAAATACTTTTACTGTTAGAGGCACTATTTGACACACTATTTATACATATAGAATTGATAACGAGAAAAGTTCATTTTCTATGACAACTATTATGGGTACGCCAGGTTGACGCCAGCTAAGAATGTTTAGTTCAATATCTTTGGTCCTTTGAGAGTATTGATTATGAAATTTTGTAAAGCCAGGGCACTATTTGCGAACTATTTTTGTGTGTCAATTTTGTTGCTTAAATATATACCGTTCTTGGGGTCGGCCATGGGTACGCTAGCTTGACGTCATGGTAGCGTACACAGTAAAAATGGTATTTATTTCTTAAATTAAAGAGGCACTATTTTTATTATTTTTACACTAATTTGGCACTATTTACGCACTATTTAATGGCATAACGAAAAACCGTATATTGATCGTGGGTACGCTAGCATCACGGACACGCCAAGGAGGTCGTCAACAATATGATAAAGGCCTTTGTTATATAGCTCTCGCTCTGCCCTTTTCATCGGCAAAGCCTCCCCCACACAGTGACGTTCCGGTGGTCTTGGGCTGCGTTCCAAATATACGCTTTAGGAGCAATTTTTACTATGATGTTTCAATTTTGAAATAAAATATTTATGAAACGATGAAACGTATATCTGGCATTCATTTGTTTAATCTAGAAAGTAGCACTGAGCGTAGGTTTGGAATGTAGCCCAGCTGTCCAGGGATGCTTTAAGCCAGAACCATATAACTGTGTCGTGGCGCGCCAGAAGCATATCGGTTTCATACATTTACAATGGTAAGAGACATATTTACGTATCGTGTCGTATCGACGCTCTAACCTCTCTCTCTCTAACCCATAATAAATGTATGGAACCGAAGCGTCACGACACGCCACGTTAATATGTTTCTGGCTTTACACGTGTCGTGATGCGCCAGAAACACATTGGTATCATACATTTAGGTACTATGGTTGGAGACATATTTGTAAGGCGTATCGTGTCGCCGCGACATGACACGTATTTAAGGGTCTGCCTTTACATTTAAAGGTACGTTCGGACGTGTCCGTCATGCTAGCGTACCCCACATCGAGTTTGCGGTTGTTACTCATGCTAATAAAAAGTACGTTAATAGTGCCTAATTAGTGCAATAATGAAAAAAAACTTCCTCTTCAGTTAAGGAAATAATAACTGTTTTCATTGTGTACGCTGGTGTGACGATCAAAGTAGCGTGCACCAGGCTATTCTCGAAAACGGTTTATTGTTATGCAACCAAATTTTCACTGAAAATATTGCCCTAATAGTACTCACACTATGCAAAATTTCATAACTATAGCTCATACGGGAACAAATATATAGAACATAACTTATAAATAACCTATGGAGCTGGCGTAAAGGTAGCGTACCCCAAAAAGTGCATAAAGGAAGCAAACTACTCTTTTAATGTATGATACATGTATAAATAATGCGTGAAAATCTGCCTCAGATAATATAAAATACTGTATGAATTTGCAGCGGAATAATTAAAAAAAAACTGGTGTCAACTTCTAGACACTAATGCATTGAAATACAGTCGCGAAGAAAAATTTTGAGCTCAAATTGACACATGCATGGTTGGCAACACAGAAAATAGAAAGAGGTTAG